CATCACATTAGAACACAACAATTTCAAGAATTATTAACACAAATGGACACAAGGATTTGCAGACATCTATACGCAAGACTATAGCGGATATTTTAAAGACATTAAAGATTATATATATCTAAACGGTGAAAAATACCGTCCCCAAGATATATCACCTATCAATATTTTTAGCTTTGTTACACTCAAGAATGAAATTCTTGATTTTCTAGGATGGCCCTACTACATCTTAGAAAAATTGACTATTTTATACGCAATGTTCAACTTTATTGGATTTCTTTTCTCACTTTTAAAAGGAATCTACAACACATGTGCTATACACACACAAGTAAACAGACAAGCAAGCGTAGCACGCATACTCTTTGCAGGATTTTTTGGAATCTTTTCTACATCTATAAACAAAATTCTTTTAGACGCACAAATAAAAGAATATAACACAAAAATAGCAACAAGACAGAACACATACGACGAAGAACATAACAATGTAGACACAACACCAACAGCACCACAGTTACCACCCCTACCACATAACCATCCATTATCCCTAGTCCCACGTAATTTTCGAAATTTAACACTTAATCAAAATTTTCGACCAACCATATCACAAAGTCCCATCCAACATATAATGCCACACCACTCACAAGATGAAAATACATATGAACAAATTATAGAACAACCCCATACCACCGCTTTTCAGTCTCAAAATAATAATTTTTTTAGCCCACAATGAGCCGACAACTTGGATCCCTACACCGATCAAATTCCCATCCAACCAACCTCACCACTCCAATCCAAATAATATCACTTTTTGCTTTTCCGCCACCCGATTTCCCCACCAGTAATGTAACATCCGGCATGAATTCCGATACTAATTCACACATCTCAGTTTTATACTCCATCTCACAACTCAATAACCCGAATATTGAAACCCCCGATGAATTTGCCGACTCTGAACCATCTCCATCAAATAATTTTCACACCAATTCCTCAAATTTTTCTCAACCCCCTTTTCAACCCATACTACCAAATAACCCTGACCCAACCAATTCTACACCCTCTTATGCTTCCCAAGTCACTCCAACCTACTCCTCACTTCACTCAGACCAATCATCTCATTCTCCAGACACCCCCCGAATCTCCCCAGAACTAGATAATTTCATTACCCTACAACAACAACCCTACCACCTTGACACCCCAACCATAAACCAAATGTCATCCACAATAGATTCATCCAACCCTCCTATCCCTACACCCTCTTCAATTTATACCGAATCATTAGCACCATCATCCACAACTACTGAATCTTCACTTAGCACTAATAGAGCTTACCGCACTTTTAAAAGAAAGTTCCCCAACCATCCTTTCCCAGCGAAACCAGGAACAGCCCGTGAATATATCACCCATCCAAAACACACTAACACAAAAAAATTTTTAGCTATCACTTTACCCTCATTTCCACAATACACCTTAAACACCCCTCACGACACTAACGAGACACGTAACTTTGTAGACGAATACGTTTTAATGCCTACCCTTCCTTGGACCTCATATTATCATTTTACTAATCCCCTTTGCTTACCATTATCTAACACTCACATCGATATAGAACATGCTATATCGACTCACTACACCACTAACACCTAGACAATTTACTTACATTGGATATAAAAAATCACTAAAAACACACACTGCACCCCGAGCTAACGAATATACACTAGAATATTACGATCATAACATCATCAGAACTAACCAAGATCAATTCTTAGACGACGATCGCTTCGCTAACCCACAAATCACCGAGAAATTTTTCATTAAAACACCATATGTATTTACACTAAATATCTTCGATCGCAAGTTTGACCACATTATTTCAGAAGCACTAACAGACACACAAGCCTACGAAAGTTTTAAAGAACGCTTCCAAATATTTTCACTAACCTTTCATTTCCTTGCACCACATGAAAGAGATTTGCACTGCTCACACGATATTATGTTGCGCACTAAACAAACACACACATATACTTATTATCGTTTCATCCAAAATCACTTTGACCTACACACTCCCTCCAGACAACCACACCATCGTTTTCAATTCATCAATTCCAAATACACCTCACCATTCTTTCTTAACTTCACATATTGTATTAAAGATACTAACCTTCATGGTATTCTTCGAAATTATGATCCCATAACCCAAATGTATATTTTTTGTCCAATCACCAAGACCTTCAACGCAGAAGAATCCCGACCCTTCCTTATCCCACACGAGTTTGTACAACCTATAGAAATCCCCATTTTAGAATTCATCCATAACACTAAATTCAATCACAAATTATATAATCTAATCCAAAACACACCTTATGAATTTGCAGTTGGCACTGAAGAACTAACCACCATTAAGGCACTTCAATTGCTTTGGCCACTGCTTCAAACTAAAAATATCATCCGCATTTTAGCTAAATTACTAACAACTTCAGATCTCATCCACGACATCTTCCCCCACGGTTTCTTCCCCGACGACTAACAGGTAAGTATGAATTATACATATTACTAACTAATTAAAATATTAGAAACTCACCATTCTTTATCCATGTTTTCTTTAGAATTTTAGCCTTCATCCAACGATCATCTGAAAAATTCACAAAAGAAAAATAAAAAATAGCGAACTTCTTCAAAACTGTTTAAAACCCTATTAAATTTTTGCACCAACAATTAAATAAATATAATACCAATGCAGTAATTTAATTTATAAATTTTTCCCCCACAAGCAGTAAGTTAAATAATGATGAAAATTTGTAACTTAAATTTCCCCAACAACTAGCAGTAAAATTGAAATTCTATGTAGTAAATTAATAAGAAGCAAATGCAGTACTAACCTTTTGATATTTTCATTCACTCGCACAAGAATTCTATCCAAACTCGCACAGCTCGCCCACGAAGAATTGTTTAAATAATGAATTTCAGTTTCAAGCTTTAACAACTCAACAACTCTAACATACGATAACAAGTTTCAAACTTTCCTTTAACCCGGTTGGAAAGGAATTATATACTAAACAAAACTAACCAATGCAGCTTACTAAACACCACAACACATAGCATAACAGCATGACTAAGAAAAGGAAACCAACGGTACCCAAACCGGATTAACCCAGTTTAAAACTGGATAATTTATTCTTTTGAAGACTATTATAAAGTCTAAGAAAGAAATAATAAAACACAAAAAAGTCGAAAGACAAACCCATACCACAAACAATTTGATTTTTGAAAAAAGGACACAACCAACAAAACATAAGAAAAACCACAACAAACCCAACATAAAACGTTGTCACATAACAGGACCTCTCACAAAAACCGCATGCAATCATACTCCCACTCCTGGCCTAACCCACCAGGAAGGACGTCCTGAGCATGCTCTATAGCCGGCCTAACCCACCGCGCTACATCCACGCTTTGTGACCACACTCCTATTTTTAATAAGAGCTACTCAAGGGTGAGTAACTCTTCAAAATAACTGAACTAAAACAAAAAGCTTTTGTGAAAACAACTAACTAAAATCATAATTAAAAAATATTAAACTAATAAAAGTTTTATAAAATGTAAATTACATTATGCAATACATAGATCAGAATACAACACCAAGGACGAACATCCAAAGACAAAACGACCTCACTACACTCGAGAAAGAATGGCCAACTACAATCAATATGCCGCTCACAATCACAACTCAAAGGATTTAGAGTACGACTTGACTTCGCAGAAAAGGACTTCATTGAACTAGACCAATGACCACCTCGATGTTCAAGTATACGTACAGATCCGAGTAACCAGGCATCCCCTCCACGCACAATCTCCACGCCATTCCTTGACAAGATCAAAACACAAAGAAGTTCTCATCAATGAAACAGAAAAACCTGACATAGCCAACTATTCTGAAATCAGATTTGAGTTTGTTGCGAAAACCCAGTCGTTGTCTTGAGAAGACACAACAATTGAATCTGGGACTTCTCTAATAAGAAAACCCAGAAGAAATAAGATGTTCGCCAAATACCAACGTCCATCATCCATCCTTTGAATTGCAGAAAGACTATTCTAAAAAACTCTGTAAAACCCGGATGGGTGGAACCTGATCTAAACTACATTTTATGATTGGATAAATTAGATATTTTACCAATGTAAAGTATTTAATATTAACCAATCATGATCCATCTGACTAACAATCCACTTATTTGTAAGTGCTGAAATTACTTGTAATTTCAGCACCAGAGAGATTTGAATTTAACTTAGAAATTAGTTGAACTCTCCCGAGTACTTCAGCAGCCGCAATAAACCAGTATACCCTAGATCTATTGAGCCTAGCAGAGACTAGTTAAACAACCTGAGACTAGATAGTATAAGAGTAAGATTAGGATCGGTATTAGACTAAGAAGTTGCACGAATCTATCCGGCCGAAAATAAGATACCGTGACGAGCAGACGGTGTACCCTATCCGAAATTACTCTATGAGTTATACCCATCGGTCCTAACTCAAATTATTGCTGCTACAATTTTTCGCCCTTCAAAAAAAATAGAAATTTTCGCTGGTTAAGCACTGTTATCTGTTACTAATTGTCGCGTGTTATTAAATTTCGCCTCACGCTAAAAAGTATCTTTGATAAATTTCATTCTAACCCAAATTTCAAGTCAGAGATTTCATCTTCAAAATCTATTATGCATTTCAAGTTTTTTCAACATGTTAAAGGTTCCTTGTATAATGCAGAAGTATTTGGGCGGATAAACTCTTATAAAACGAAAAAATGATCGTAAATTTTTTGCTATGATAACTGTGACCGGAACATTCTGCGCAGTGATCAATTTCGCCTGTTAGAGAGTACCCCCCTTACTAGCAAGAGAAGGTGGTGAAAGTGCAAATGTCACAGAAGTTTTTTTTTGAAAATAATTAGTTATAAATGCACACCAAGTACTTTTCAGATTCGCTTAAACCATTAAAAAAACTGCGAGCATTAAAAAGCAAACAAAAAGTGGTTGAAGAAAGCCAGCTTTATAAATTTTGTTGTCTACAGACCTGGTAATGCATTATAGCAGTCATACACTTTTAATGGTAATTTAAAAAAGAATTACTCTCAGTCTATAAAAGTTTAATAAACTGTTACATATTTTGTATTTGAAATGGAAAAAATTCTTTTTCGTTGTATTTGCATTTTTCTGATGTTTATCCGGAGTTCGGAGGGGGAGGGGGAGGTGCCCTATTGCAAAGAAGCTCGGAAGTGTCTGTGCATGATATTAAAAGTGCAGTGTCTCCATGTCACAGCTGATGACCCAGACATCGATAGTAAGTTGATTATAATTGCTAGCCAAAAATTCGGACAGACAAAACAAATAAAAAGAGCAATTAACCTATTTTGGAAAAATTTTGAATTCAAAAACTTAAATATTCAGATCGAATTTGTGTCTCAAGGTTGTCTGAAAAACGAAATTGCCTGCAAAAGTCTGTCAAAAAGGTACTATAATCCCTTTTAGTTAATTCTGTCTGTCCAAACTTTTTGCAACTCTCAATACGTTGGATCTCAATTCAATTCAAACTAACTGAGTGACTTTTGTTAGAAGCTTACCCGGTTCGAGGTACGCGAATTTTTTTAAAACCCCAATAATTTCAGGAGAGTTCAGAAATCGAAGCCGTTTTGGGGGGAGGGGAGGAGGATGTTAACTTGGTTAACTTGGCACCACGTAAACTTGGCACCACGTAAACTTGGCACCATGTAATGTAAAATTCAGTCAAATAACCAATAAGTAGGCCAAAGTGACATCGGGCTATTGTGTTTTGGCCATGTTTAATCTCGATTTCGTTCATAACAAAGACTGCAAATACAAAAATTTGCTTGGTTTTATTTTATGTATTTATCATAAATTTTTTTTATTGTTTCATGATAGTTTTAACATTTCCAGCTTCTTGAAAACACAGTAAAATATCTAATTTAGAAATACTCACATGCTTTCCATTGTTTTCATCAACTTCAAATGAACTTCCAAGCAAACCGGAATCGGGACGCAGTAAAAACGGCGGGACTTTATTTCTAGGCGAGTGTAAGAGGTGATACTTTACGCTAACATTATAACCTCTAAGCTATATCAAGCTCTGACCTATGTCTATGTTAATTTAAGAATACCTGCCAAAAGCGCAACGGCTTTTGGTAGATTTAGAGAGATTGTTCATTGTTTTTTTTATATGGAACCAATCTGACGGAACTAATCTTAATTCAACCTCTTTATTACCTCTTAACTTTAGCGTAATTACCTTAGTCTTTTATTTAGTCCTAAATAAAAGCCTACAACAAATTTTAAGTATCTTAACCCGACCTGTCTTAAATTATTCTTAGTTTAAGTCCAAACTTTAACAACCTTTAGACGGTTTATCCTAATTTTTTATCATGGCGCAGTGAAACGAGTCGAACCTACGAGGACTAGAGTTTTTTTTGGAACAACACATCGAGTGAAAACCAACACGACTGGGAAAGGTGGTCGGAAAGTTCCAACTAACTATCATCGCGAAAGATTCCGTGGACATTGAAGATGTAATCAACCCACCGGTAAGAACCGAATTAGCATACCCAATGGCAGAACCAGCGGAACCATCCGATGATCAAGCCCGACGGTCGGAAAAAGAAGAACAACACCAAATAGCTATCCAAAATTACAACGAAGAAATGAGAAGGAGGAAGGCAGAAGACAATGCAAAATTCAACGGACTTCAAATCGGAGATATTGACAAGAAGTTAAAGTCACAATTATACCTGGCTCTCGGAAGAGAAGGACAGAAATGCTTCTCACATAAAAATCCTGGGAAAAGAATACTGGATTTTAACTTTGCTAAATTCTGGGAATTACTCAAAACTACTTTCATGGTCACTACACTTCTAACATACGAAAGAATTAAATTCTTTGGTCGGAGACAGAAAGAGAACGAGTCTTTAGAGAAATTCCATGAAATACTATCCAAGTTAGCAAAAAACTGTAAGCTGGGTGAGCTCGAGTCTGAGTTAGTCAGAGACATCTTTATTACAAACATGAGAAACGTTGAAATACAAAAGAAATTATGCATTGAATACTTAACTCCAGAAGACGTATTATCTTATGTACTAGTCCATGAGAAAGGTACCAAAATTCATCAACAGTGCCTGAACTTTCCTACCTATAACGCGGTACAGAGACCACAATACACCAAAAACGAACCGACCTTAAATATCGTCGAAAACAATAAGTGCCGCAACTGTGGTCGGCAGTTCAAGAAAGGACACCTAACTACATGCCCAGCTAGAGACAGAAACTGCAATACATGTGGACGTAAAGGCCACTTTGCAAAACACTGCAGGAGTTCAGCACGAACACAAACAAACATAGTAGAACAAAACCAAACACCCCAGGAAAACGAAAACACCAGGGCTAACCCGCAGGAAAATCCCGAATTCGAAGTTAATTTAGATGATTTTCTAGTTCTAGCAGTGGATACGGATACCCAAATAAATGCAGTTCAAGACAAGATCGAACGCGGAGTGAACTGTATTTAACCAAGAAGGTCTAGAACTAAAAAAGACGTTGATGGTATCTCTGAGAAATTTCAATCCTTACCGCACAGAAATACAGATTGACTCAGCAAGTCCAGTATCATTCATGAAAAAGACTTACTCCACGAACTGAAGATACGAGATAAAATTTTAAAACTAGAACCCGTGGACAAACTATTAAAGAAAGCGTACCAAGGCTTTGGAAGCACAATAAACATCATCGGAAGAGTTCGGGTGAGAATTCAATCAAAGGGTTGGAACGCTAGCGATCAGAAGTTATTCATTACCGAAGGTGCAGAAAGAAATCTCCTCGGAAACGACTTATTACCAGATCTGGGAATAGTAGTACTCCAAAAACAACCTCCACCCAACGGGCCAGAACTACGGAGAACTCAGAAAGGATCACCCAACGAGATAGTTGTTAACCAAATAAGATTTGCATCGGACAAGAAACCTGAGTAAAACCAAGACACATCATCACGAAGTGAGTTTAAAGAATACATATCAAGACAATTTTCAGATCTCATAAAAAGATCCGGTAGATCAAAGAATTTTATTATTAACACTTATTTTAACGGACCAATAAAGCCAATACAGGTAAAGAGGAAACGCATTCCAATTCATCTTCTCCCTAAAGTTAAATTATGTATTGACCAACTACTAAGAGATGGCCACATCGAAAAACTGTCTAGATGCTCTGAAGATTGTTTCATCTCCCCTATCGTAATAACAGCCAAAAGAGACGGATCAATTAAATTAGCATTAAACTCGAAATTACTGAACAAACAGATATTTCGCAATAGATATCAAATGCCGAACCTATTTGAACTAATTGATATTGTAGCTGTTACAATTAGCGGCCACGACGAAAAAACATTTGGTTCTCATCGATCGATCTAAAGTACGCATATAGTCAAATACCACTTTCAAAAAAGGCAAGTAACCAATGTAATTTCAACATCGTGGGGGAGAAGTAACAGGCTCTTACCGTTTTAAGACCGGATTCTATGGACCAGGCGATATGTCTAATGAGTTTCAACACATAATGGACCGTCTGACGGAAAAACTAGCAAACACTCACTGTTACCTTGACGACATCTTAATGGCTACCGTGGGTAGTGAGGATGAACACAAAAAACTAGTTATCAACGTTTTAAAAACGCTAGACGACGAGGGATTAGCCATAAAATGCGAAAAATGCACATTCTTGACTCACAACATAGAATGGCTGGGATTAAAAATTGATGCGATAGGAACGACACCTCTAATAAATAAATCTGACGCTTTTAGAAACCTGAAAGAACCAAGCTGTATCAAAGATATAAGATAATTAATGGGATCTATTAACCAATTCAACAAGTTAATACCAAATTTGGCGTCGTTATCAGCACCGTTTAGAGAACTAATGCAGAAAAACAAACCATTCAAGTGGTCCACAGTGCACGTTGAGGCGTTTGAAAAGATCAAGAATGAAATTTGTAACACGGTAATGAATCATCACTTTGATGTAAAACTGAATACCCGAGTGAAATGCGACGCATCTCATTTGGGATTGGGCGCGTCCATCGAACAAGACCATCGGGGAATTGGAAAACCGTAGCGTTTGCTAGCATATTTTTAAATGTTGCTGAATTACAGCACCAATGAATTTGAATTGCTGGGTCTCGTGTGGGCATTGGATCATTTTAAAAACTATTTACTGGGCAAACAATTCTCAATTCTAACAGACCATAAAGGCTTAATAGGAGCACTGAGAGACGACAAAAACACTAAAATGGCACAATCACGTCTCACCCGTTGGGCAGACAAGTTACTACCGTTCGACTTTACCGTCGAACATTTACCGGGGAAAGACATGTGATTTATTGATTACCTATCCCGACACCCATCGGGCAAACCCGTACCGGTCTCACTCGACGATGAAAAACTTGTTATCGCCTCGGTAAATTAAATTAGTACACTCCTAGGTTTCGATCATTTGATGCCGAGAAATTCGTGGTCGCAAATAATAAATAAGTTCTCTCAACATTTCTTAACACATGACGTCACACACTGTAATACGATTAGCCAGTCGACAGATCATATGACCTGCCAAGAAATAGAACGTGAGAAACGAATTGCGAACGCCGCTGAAACTAGACCGCAAACAAGATATTCTACAATTGGGAAATTACTATAAATCGTACTTGAATAACTTACACGTCAGCGGAGGATGTCTTTATCTGGACAGTCGACTAGTTATCCCGGCATGCTTAAGATCGATAAGGCTCCACCGGTTACACGAGGCACACCCAGGCCAGTTTGCAATGAAAAGTTTGGCAACCCAAAACATCTGGTGGCCAAAAATTTATCGTGAAATCCAAGTCCACGGCGAAAATTGTATTGAGTGCGTTAAAGCAGGTAGAAACTTGAAAACTCTTTCAAATCATAATACCCTAGGAAAACTCACAACGGTCGAAGAACCAAACCAAGAAATGGAATTAGATTTCGCCGGTCCGTTACCACTAGTATGGGGAACAAAAAAATACATATTGGTATGCGTGGATAGATTTTCAAAATTCCCTTCTGCTCAAATAACATCCAGCACATCGGCAAAATCTATCATAAACTTTCTTAGCAAATACATAGCTGTACATGGGATACCTAGAACTATCAGAACAGATCAGGGATCTGCTTTTATCTCCAAAGAAGTTGGAGAATTTTGCCACGAACATAACATAAAGGTTATGTTTAGCCCAGTGGATGACCATAGAGCCACTGGATTAGTTGAACGCTTAATTAGAACCATGAAGGAAAGGCTCTTGGTTATGGCACAAGAACGCCCAAAACCATCACTAGAATCTGCATTACTGAAGATAATAAAATGCCTAAGAACGGTAACACAACAGTCGCTTAACTGATCTCCCTTCGAAGCACACTTTGGTAGATCCGCGAATACTATCTGGCATAATTTAGTCAAGTCACCATCCTCAGACAACCTTGATTGGAACAAAACCTTTTTATGAATAGATAAGGGCCGAAATTTCATGAGTCGAGAAAGAAGACACGACTGGGACGCCCCCGATGATATTGAGGACGGAGATCTGGACGAGAACTCATCATCCTCGGATGATATTGCTAATGCTGTGAGATATGTCCCAACCAGTGCTGGGTCTCCAGTGAAAGTGCTCTCCCGCGCAGAGAAAAAAGATGCCTTGGGCGTAAAAAACTCAGTGACAACCCGCCGGGTAAGATCACTATATATAGAAAAGTTCAGGATAGATCGAAGAGTGAACCATTCTATAAAGAACTCAAGGAGGAAATAGTAAGGGAGTCAGACCACACAATTACTCTAAAAACTGGAAAAATAATACGTAAATCCGATTTAGCCATCAAAAGACAACCAGCCCTGAAGAAACCGAGCCCGAGAAAGAAAAACCAATTAGTCAAATTCTATGCAACAAAAGGCCTGAGGAAGACCACGAGACCACAAAAAAATAACGGTTTTAAAAGTTCAAGAACGACTCAAAAGAAAAAAAATCTCCAGGCTAAATTTGAAGAGCTCGATATTGCGAGGCGGAATGCGGCGATGAACAGTTCTCGAGAGACACTCCTTAGAGAGGAGGAAGATCAACGAAAAAAATTGAGATTCGCGAACGGCCTCGAAAGTGACCTTGAGTCAAGCCCGCTGGGCAAACCCGACCATCTAAGAATTTAGGAAAACAAATACCGAGCGATGAACAATTCAACAGAAATCTCATCAGACGACAACGCTAGCGACCTAATTTCACTAAAGAAATTAAAGACCAAAACTGTAACCAATCCAGAAAAGTCACTGGAGACTCATCACCAAATCAAGCAGATCTTAAGGCCGAAATTACGGATCAGACCGATCCGAAAGTAGAAAGTACCGAATTTCCGCTGATCGATCTTGACGCCAAGGACAATAACACAACATCTCATCCAAATCCACCACTGATTCTTACGTTCATTTGGGTGCTGTCATCTCGCCTACAGAGTCCTATTGCGGGGCATCTTTCCCGACCAGCGTACCCACTTATCCATTCCCGAGTCCGAACAATTTCGTGTGTAACGAAAAGCATATATTTTAATTAGTCTATCATAACCATCAGGTGCTAACGTGGAATGATCTCGGGATTGAACTACTTTAGTATCATGCTTTTATCATGCTATTATCTCGCCCTTCGGGTTTTCGTGCGGGGTTTTGCCGACCAGCGTACCCACCTATTTATCCCGTGTCCGAACATTCCTTTTGTGTGGTGAAAGTATAGTATAACCAATTTTTCGCGGGGAATGTCAAAGGTGATACTTTACACTAACATTATAACCTCTAAGCTATATTAAGCTCTGACCTATGTCTATGTTAATTTAAAAATACCTGCCAAAAGCGCAACGGCTTTTGGTAGATTTAGAGAGATTGTTCATTGTTTTTTTATATGGAACCAATTTGACGGAACTAATCCTAATTCAACCTTTTTATTACCTCTTAACTTCAGCGTAATTACATTAGTCTTTTATTTAGTCTTAAATAAAAGCCTACAACAAATTGTAGGAATCTTAACCCGACCTGTCTTAAATTAGTCTTAGTTTAAGTCCAATCTTTAACAACCTTTAGACGGTTTATCCTAATTTTTTAACAGCGAGTACCCTAACCGTTTCAAAATTTCTCCTAGTCCGCTTTAAACTATGATCCTCAAATTGTTTAGAATGAGCGAAAAATTTTCGGTTTTAGGAATTAGGATGAAGCTGTAGAATCAAGTAGGTTCGTAAGCCCAAAACATCAAAATATAGCATCAAGTTTAAAAATGAAGTTAACATAGAACTGTATCTGCGTATCTCAAAAAACGATTCCACTCAAAATAACTTCAGCGGTATATTGTTATTTTAGGTGGCCTTGCAGGCGCGAATCTAAGATTTTCTCAAGAGTTAGTGCGTTTTTTTCCAAAAAGTTTTAAGAGGTCGATCAAATTAATTTTCTGAGCTCTCCCAAACCAAAACGCTATTACTATTATGGCCCTATTTTGAATTTTTTTAGCGTCGCAGGCAAATTTAAGAAAAGGCAGGCCAGAAACTACAATTTTAGGCACTTTTTGGAAGGTTATAACCAAAGAAATTGTGCTTTTACTGCGAGCGCTACCCATTCAAAATGTGTTTATATTCGCACCAAAAGTACGTTGGAAAAACTTTAGGGTCGATCAGCTTAATTTGCAGTTTGCTCAATAGTACCAAAGGAGGGAGAAACTTTGAGTGGTGGGGGGTCAAATCCATGAAAATGAGTGCCAACCCCCCACACACCCCCGTCGAATAAACACGCTACTGCTGCAACGTCTCTGAAAGTGACTGTCGTCCTAAAAAGACTTCCACCAAAGTTACAGAGCTGTATTCATTTCTAGTTTTGATCCCCTAAGAAATAAGGATGGGCTTTTAAAAATAGGTTAATTTGGATTAAAACATCACATCATAACTGTCTTTTTATTAGAACTGACGAGCAACTTCGAAGCCATTATAGCAGCACAGTCAGTGCTTCAATTCCGAACTGTGAACCCATACATCACGGAGATACAAATAGAAACGAGCGAGTACTCATTCCTCACCAACGAGCCCGCCTTCCCCAATTTGAGAGTGTTCAATCTAGTCAGCTCAACCTACCGCGGGTTCCCCAAGAACAACATAACCGAACTAAGAATTAAACAGAGCGGAAACTTGCAGGGTAAGCTGGACTAATTAACAGGGGTATTCTCATGACGAAGGTATTCTCAGTATAAATGATGTTATTCTAAGGATCAACCAATCACGTTCATATTGGCTCAAAAACTTTTGTTCAAAATCGAAATCTTTTTTAACAAAAAATGAATTATAGCAGCACAGCAAAACTTTGCTCTGCATTTCCTGCACATATAAATTAAATTTTTTGTTATATTTTTCTTGTTCTTAAAAAAGTCGTTATACTTCAAGTAATCAATTTTTCTATGCGTTTTTGATCTCGCAATCTTTGAAAGTTCATGTTTCTGCTTATTTTTTGATCGGTCAATATTAGTTGCCCTGGATTCATTTTCTTGCTCCGAGACGTTCGCAATTTCTTAGAGATTTTTCTGATATTATTTTCTGAATGGCTGAAAATAACTTTCCAATGCTCTGTATCTTCATCCTTCATCATAGAGGACACCAACGAGTTAAAGAAAAGTGAAATACCGAGTTAAAGACAAGTCTATAGATTTTATGTTTTTTTTCTAAACTACCGCTATATGAATTGCAACTAGAAGAACATTGGAGGGAACAAGTTAACATCTCCCCCCCCCCCTCAAAGCCGTTTGGGGGGAGGATGTTAACTTGGTTCTAAGTTAGAAATTTCAAGCCATTTACAATCGAGCATTTTACATGCAGCGCTTAGCAAAATTAACCTTATCTTATTTATTAAATGAAAGTCGGAATGCGCTATGGGCGCAATGTTTAACTGAACACAATGCTTAAGAAACATTATGAGACAATGTTTAAAAGGCTCTCGAGCGTAACGTTCAAGAAGCATTCAGAGCAACCAACAGAAGAAGATTAACTCGATCCAACTTCAAGGCTAAACAGTACCAGCCTAATTTTTGTCTTGAACTGGGACTGTCAAACTTTCAGTCTGAAACAAATCACTTACAAACAGCCACCTCCATGTTGAGAAAAAAAAATTTGCGAACCGATTCGGTCTATGAAATAACTGGAAATATTTCGACGTTTCATAGCTTGAAAAGCTTGCGTACAAAAACTTTTTCGCGAACCGATTCAGTTAATGAAATAACTTGTAATAAATTAAAGTTTCATAGCTTGAGAAGCCTGCTTAAAAAACTGGAAGTTTTCGCATACCGATTCGATCCAAGAAATAAATTGAAACATTTCAAAGTTTCATAGCTTTAACAGCTTGCTTAGAAAAACTAGATTTTTTCGCGAACTGTTTCAATCACGAAAAAACTTATTTCAATCACGAAAATATTTCAGAGTTTCATAAATTGACTAGAGTGCTTCTAAAAATTTACTTTTTTGGCGAACCGATTAGGTCTATGAAAAAACTTGTATTAAGTCAAAAACTCGTAGCTTTATAAACTTGCTTACAAAAACCAAAAATTTTCGCAAAGCGAATAGTCCAAAAAACAAATTCAAAATATTTCAAAATTTCATAGCTTTAAAAGCTTGTTTAGAAAATCTTTAGCTTTCCGAGAACCGTTTCAATCTATGAAAAAGTTGAATTATTTCAGAGTTTCATAATTTGACGGGAGTGCTTCAAAAAATTTAAGCTTTTCGCGAAACGATTTAGTCCATGAAAAAATTGTAATATTTCAAAGTTTCGTTGCTTTAAAAGCTTGCTCAGAAAAACCAACTCCTCGCAAACCGATTCAGTCTATGGAAAAACTTGAAATAATTCAAAGTTTCATAGCTTTAAGTGTTTGCTTAGAAAAACTGAAACTTTTCTGAAACCGATTCAATCGTTGAGAAAACCTGAAATATTTCAAGACTTTCATACTTTGACTATTGTGCTTGCGCACAAAAACTAATTAAAAAACTAGAAAAAAATCTGGAAGTCACTTGAAAGGCTTTAACAGAAAAACTGTTTGCCATCCGGTTCACTTTTTGAACTACTTGAATTGTTTGAAAGTTCCATAGCTTAAACAGCTTGCTTAAATTCCATATTTTAACTGTGTGACAAATGCCGTGTTATATTGCAATAGCATGCAAGTTATACAGTGTAACGCCAATACGAATACTTTTCAGTAGTTTTGATAACAAATTAGTTTCAAGGCACTTTCAAATTGTTCACGTTTTTTTTGCTCCTGTTGCAGATCTGGTCTGCTTTCTAGGGTGTCTTTTGGTTTATTTTGCCTATAACCCATTAAGATCAAAAATTATTATTGTGCTTTTTATAATTGGTGTGGCTATAATTGTTCATTATACTGATAAAAAAAAGAACAAAAATTGAATTTCATTTTGTGAAGCAATCAATGATAAAAAGATTGTATGTCACATTGCCTAACAATCAATTTGCCGTGCTGTCAGTTGTTTATGTGTTCAAAAGGCAAAATTGGTCATTACATCGTCGGTTTTACCTGAAGTCACTTGTGTTGTTGTGCACATATTATAAGATCATCTGTTCCAACTTTTGGTTGAGACTAAATTGCTCCGGAATATTTTTGTTCCGATTTTCGATTTTTTAGCTAACCAATTTTGACAGGTTTTGTTAAAGATCATTCGGAAGCTATTGTTGTCCTGAGCTTAAATTTGAAAAGATATTTCACCAGTGATCGTTTTTCGTAAAGTTATGGCGGTTTAAAGATTGCCATTTTGGTCAGTTTGGGACAATTATGCATGGGCAGAGATTTAAACCGTCTTGAAAAGAGGTTCAAAATTGGTCCAAGGAAGTTTAAATGCCATAATTGAATTGTTAATAGGAGCAAAATGTATCATTTTCTATTTGATATGGCGTGTGGGGGATGTTTTTACAAAAAAAATTCAAATTTTATTTTGAAAAAATTTAATTTTATTTTATTCCATAATACTACTGCTCCATAAACATTAAAATGCAGTCGGAACAATCAGCAATATCTGATATAGGGGGGAAGGGGGCAGGAGGCGGACGCCCCATCCCCCCTCAGGGATTTGACCCCCTGCCGAACCAAAGGGTCACCCTTTCGTACTATTTTGAGACATGCCTTTTTGCTGACTGGCCTTAATATTTTTCTAAAGGCGCCTTTGGCGCCAATATATAGTAATTTTGAGGGGGGAGGGCGCGCCAAAAAAACGCGATTTTTTGGTCAAAATTTTCTAAAAAGTGCCTATAAACGCCTTTTTTGGCCGGTTTTATCAAAAATTTGACTGCGGCGCCAAAAATTTGGTCAAATTGGGGCTTTTATAGTGATTGGGCAGAGCTCAGAAAATCAATTTGGTCGACCTAGAAAAAAAGTCTACAAAATTTTCATTTTTTTCGAAAATCCGACCCCCCCCCCACTCAAGAAAATCAGGGCCAAGACTGATACGAGCAGTCTTGTTTGAGATTTATTGCCTTCTTATAACACGCATAAGCGGCAACTTAATGCGTTACAAATTGAGTTGAGGCAAATCGATTAGTATTTTTATTAAAACAGACAAGAAATACAATACATCCTTTCGTACACATTAGCGTGTGGGAGAAATTGAAGGGAAAATTTTTTTAAAATGATTAACTTTTTTGTCAGTTTTCTAACCAAAATGATTTTATGTAGCTTCAAAGAGCAAGTGGAATATACAGTGCTTTGTGCATAAATACGAGTAATCTTGTCATACTTGAAGTACAATGAGTTTTGGGATGGTTGATTTTCAAAGTTTTTGGTTTCAGCATACGGAAAGTTTCCTTCGTTAAAAAGCACCGCTGAAGAAATGGACCCTTTATACTACAGATTTGGTTACGAACACAACTAAAAAGTTTTGAGAAATTGAAATGTAAAAAATCAGTTTTTTTGGTTTAGGGAAAAATGCTAGTCCAACACTTTCCATGCAATTCCATATCTACAGAAGAATTGGATGAAAATTGCATAAAAATTGTATGACTAAACCAAAAAACTGATTTTTTACATTTCAATTTCTCAAAACTTTTTAGTTGTGTTCGTAACCAAATACGAGTAACAAAAACCTTAGTGACTCATACGTAGAGTAACCAAAGGTTTGACCGTCTCGCATTAAAAATGCTTTGGAAACGGCCTGAAACCTCTAAAATCTGTCTTACACTAATAATATAAGGAAACTATCAAACTTTTAATTTTTGGCAAAAGTTTTCAACAATGAAAATTTTTAAATTTTAAATTTTAAATTGTCAAACATTTATCAAGGCATACATAAACATGCCATACAATAGAAAAAAGAGTTTTTAGCGTTTTTGAAAAAAAGTATTCAGCGAAAAGGAAAAAATCCAATATTATGGCATCCAGGACTGCGTTATACACACAAAAAGAACTGCATGCAGTTTGTTTTTTGAAAAATGTTCGTTTGAGTACAAAATTAAAAAAAAAAATTAGGCTTTTTTTGGAAAATTTTGACCAAAAAATTGCGTTTTTACGGCGCGCGCTCCCCCCTAAAAATTAGTATGTATTGGCGCCAAAGACGCCTTTAGAAAAGTTTTAAGGTCAGTCGGCCAAAAAAGGATATCTCAAAATAGTACAAAGGGGGGACCCTTTGAGCCGGCAGGTGTTCGAATCTCCAACGAAGGGGGGGGGGGGCGTCCGCCCCCCCGCCCCCTCTAAATCCGCTTCTGGTCAGAATACAAAAAAGTACCCAAGCAATTGTGTTTCATTAATTCTTTCGAAAAATGGAACAACCAGAGATCAACACTTAAAAAAATGATATTTTTAGGCAGTAGAGCAGCAATAAAACGATTTTTCTGATTGGCTGAAAAAAACGCTTAAAAGGTAACAAAAAAAAACTTTTAATTAAACTTCTCGTATCAAGGCGAAATTCTTTATACGGACGGGCTGCCTTTGTTTTTTTTTGCAGTAGATTAAAGTAAATAGATGAAATTATTGAAGGAAAAAAATTGAAGTGTTCATTTTTTTCGACTATTTGCCTCCCTCCCCAACAGAGTATGTAAAAATTTCAACGTTTTATGTTTCAAATCTAGCATCGCTTCACTGAATAATTTGACCAATACGAAGTGCGATTAGTTTGTCCAAAATAATTTGGGATGACTTCCGATTCTGAATACAATGCCTCTTACCGATTGATAGAAAATTTATTGTACTTTTGTTATAAACAATTGTCTAAACTGACAAAAATCAAAGCCCCATATAATAACAAAATTTACAACATTTTTTATAAATGTTTTGAATGTTAGCTTGCTCAAACTGGTACAAGAGCAGTGTGCACAAAGTCCCTTCTTCTCAAAAAGAATAGAAAACGCACACCAACTTCTGTAAAAAAAATTTCAAGCTATAAAGCTTTCACAAAATATGAAAACTAAGTTTTTGAGACCTTTTAAGCATGTGCATTTAATTGAAAAATAAACTGTTGTTTTTTTGTAATTATTAAACTTGAATTAGACACTATTTTGTCAAAACTTATAACTTGCCTAAATAAGTAGAACAATACATACCAAATGTCATTTATAGTTCCGGACATGATAAAAACAGAAAAAAGAAAGAAAACAAGACTGCTCCGATTAGTGGATATTCTGACTGCCTTTTAAAGTGTTTGAAGTAGTTTTTTGAGAAAGAATTTAAGTACATTTAATAAAATTAACAAGGCACTCAGCCTAGTATTTGAAGACGTTTTTTGGGGAAACAAATTAACTATATTAAAAAAATTAACAAGACTTACACCCCATACTTAAATATCAGGTTATTCGTGTCCAGGATATTTCGTCGCTTACGCTGCGGTGTTAAACCTAAGCTGTTAGTTTAAGTGTCAAAATGGTCTAATTGAAAAAAAGCAAGCCACATGCTTCAACTTTGGTAACTTTCTTCAATATTTGCTTTTCAACGCAGTAATAAGATAAGAAGCAATTAAAATTTGAAGCATGATTTTGCTTTGCGTTTCAAACACAGTTTCCGTTTACAATGTGTTTTAAACGTGTGTTTAATGAAAGTTTTTAAAATTTTTTGACCATGATTGAGAGTTTAAATTTTTCTTTTGAGTTTTGAGAATATTTCAGGCAAAGGATTGCTACGAGTGCTAAAAAATCTCAGCCATGAGTTCCCAAAACTGGAAAAACTAGAGCTGGTGAATATGCTGCTTACCTTTGACGAAAGAGACACAACAGCAGAACCAATCAAGTGTAAGTCATGCAATTTTTGTTCCGACTTTCGATACGAAAGTAACGGAATATTTGTGCTCGGGGTGGGTTTTTTTTTCTTCAGACAAATTTCGACTTTTTAACTAGCCATTTTTGACGAAATTTTTTTATATGATTCAAAAGGTATTGTTATCTTGAGCTTAAATTTGAAAAGATATTTTACCTGTGACCATTTTTCGTAAAGTTATGTGGGTTTAAAGATTGCCATTTTGACCATTTTGACCAATTTGGGACAATTAACGCGCGATATAATTCGCACAATTAACGCGTAAGCGGAGATTTAATCCGTCTTATAAATCGTTCCAAATTGGTTGAACGAAGCTTATTTACCATAATTGATTTGTTTTAAGGAACGAAATCTATCTTTTTGTACTTTATATGGCGTGTGGGGGGATGATTTTCATTAAAAAAATTTCAAATTTTACAGAAAAAAAATTTCATTATGTTTTTTTTTCATTTAATTTTTTTATGTTATTACTGCTGCTCCATAAACCTTAAAAGGCAGTCGGAACATTCAGGGCTTCGCCCTGATACGAGCAGTCTTGTTTTAATTTGTGATAAATTACAATACTGCAATTTCACTTGAAAGAAATGAGCCGAACGTACAAAACCATTTTATACTGTCTTTTGTTCCAATTATTTTGTTTTGTTTTAATCATGAGTTTTTTTCCAATTTTTAAGACTAGCGTTTTCAGACAAAATTTATTTGAAATTCACTAGATTTTGCGATGGAGGTTAAAAAGTTGTTGACAGTTTGATTTTTTATTCGGAAAGTTTTCAGATTAAATGAAGGGAATTCATAAAATAATGACTTTATCCCTGTTATCAGAGTTTTTGTTCCGACTTTCGATACGAAAGTAATGGAATATTTGTGCTCGGGGTGGGTTTTTTTTTTCTTCAGACAAATTTCGACTTTTTAACTAGACATTTTTGACGGAATTTTTATTATCATTCGAAACGTATTGTTGTCCTGAGCTTAAATTTGAAAAGATATTTAACCTGTGATCATTTTTTGTAAAATTATGGGGGTTTAAAGATTGCCATTATGGCCTATTTGGGACAATTAACGCGCGATATATTTCGAGCTATTAACGCGTAAGCGGAGATTTAATCCGTCTTAGAAATTGTTCCAAATTGGTTGAAAGAAGCCTATTTGCCATAATTGATTTGTTACAAGGAGCAAAATTTATCCTTTTGTACTTTAAATGGCGCGTGGGGGGATGATTTTTGTATGAAATTTCAAATTTTAGAGAAAAAAAAATTTTCATTTTATTTTATTAGATTTAGTTAGTTTTTTTTATGTTATTACTGCTCGATAAACCTTAAAAGGCAGTCGGAATATTCAGGGCTTCGCCCAGATACGAGCAGTCTTGTTTTATTGTAAAAACGTTTGTCAAATTTGGTTAAAATTTACTGAAGCAAAAAAAGCGGTGTAACTTTGGTTAACGTTATCAATTAACCTTACCAATTATAAAATTCATGCTGATTAGAAACCAGCATTACTAAAGGCTGCGCAAAAATAACATGGAGAGCTTCCGAACTTTAAAGTAGCTTCTTTGGAACCAAAAAAATTAATCGTCATCTTAAAAAAGCGCCTCTTCTAAAAATTTCATGGTAAAAAAAATGTCACATTTAAACAAAAGTGGCAAAATTACATTGACTCAAAGTTGAAAACAAGGAACAGATGTAAGTTGTTTGCACATCTCAGCATTGTCGTTTTTTGACCCAGCAGCGTTAAAAATCCAGCCAATTCCGGTTAAGAATTATTGCAGGAGAGGAAAAAAGAACACAACTTGGTGGGTTATATTTTATTCTGCTACGTAAGAATATAATTTTAATTGCAGCCAGGGGGCGGATCTAGGATTTTCTCGAGGGGGGGGGGGGCGGATTTTCAAAAAAATTTCCAAAATTTTGACGACCTTTTTTTTTTTTTTAGGTCGACCAAATTGATTTTTCGAGCTCATCCAAAGCACTGTTTTGCCCCTATTTTGGCCAATTTTAAATTTTTAAAAAAACAGTCAAAAAAAGCCGTTTTTGGGCACTTTTTGAAAAATTTTGACAAAAAAATCGCGTTTTTTTGGCGCGCGCTCCCCTACAAGTTAGTATATATTGGCGCCGAAGGCGCCTTTAGAAAATTTTAAGGGTCGGTTGGCCAGAAATGGATTTCTGAAAAAGTATCAAAGGGGGGACCCTTTGGGTTGGCAGGGGTGGGATCCCTGAGGGGGGGGGGGCAGGGCGTCCGCTCCCTCGCCCCCCCCTAAATCCGCCCCTGATTGCAGCCAATCGGCTGCTAATAACTTGATGATCATTGAGCGGATTTGAAGCGGATTTGAAGCGGATTTGTTGTATGTTCAGTTGACAATCTGAAAAACCTAGTGTTGACTGGGAACAGTATCAGTTCCCTGCTGGTGTTGAACTCGATCGAGGGGTGGTGGAGGATGAAGGAGATCAACTTCGCCAACAACAGCATCACAACAATCACTCTGGGCGACATAAAACAGGTCAGTATTGCTTAAATAAACAAGTAATTTACTCTAAATTTCTTGCAAAAAATCTTGAGTATTTATGCGTTTCACATTACGAGGCCAAATTGTGCGTTTTGTGAATTGCAAGCGGATTCCGCAACAAGGACGCTCCCTCTGTTCTTCTTTTGTTCTTTTATTTTTTTTGATGGTTCCGACAAAATTTGAGCAAGTTTAAAGGCTGGTTTCTGAAATTCAGGATGATACAGACCTCAAGTTATGCGCCTATCCAGTGTGCACAGTTTGGCAAAACTTTGTGTTCCAAGCTAAACTAAATGAAAAGGTTTATCTTATTAAAGTCGTTTTTGCGAGATAATTCTGAATCACTAAATTGAAGAAAATAAGGCCAGTGTGAACAAAATTTCCTTCTAAATTTATCAACAACCATGATCGTACCAAAAACGAACAGTAAAATTCAAAAATTAAGCCAACATGTCAAACGCTGTGTTCAAATTTGCTTAAAAAGATCACTGTGAAGCCAACCTGTGAAATTTGGAAATGTTTGCATTTTCGGCGACGAAGCGGACCAACGCTTTGCCATGGGTTCGGCAAAAAATTGTTTGCCGCAACAGCAAAAATATCAAACATCTGTTTTGTTGCAGAATCTATGACAAAGCGTTGGCCCGCTTTGTCGCAGAAAATGTAAACACTTCAAAAATTCACAGTTTGGCTTTGCAATGATTTTTTCAAGCAAAATTGAATTCAGCGTTTGGCATGTTGGCTTCATTCTTCAGTTTTACTGTTCATTTTTAAGAAGATTATGGTTGTTGATAAATAAAGAAGGAAAAATATATTTTTTAATTTGTTCATTTTGGTTTTAATTTCTTCAATTTAATGAATCAGAATTATCTTGCAAAATAAAACGTGAATAAAATAAACAATTTTATGACATGTAATTTGGAATAGAAAAAATATTAAACATCAAAAATATCAAAAATCTGCTAAAACATGGTGAGACTACAAACCAGGCTTAAAAAGCTACTTTGAAGAAACTGACAGCAAAATCTGCAGAATCCAAAGCATCTTGGCAGTGGATTCGGCTGCAGGAACTCGAGGCGTAATCGGAATTGTGTTCGCGTAACTTATTTGCCGAATTATCTCTTATTTAATAAACTTGTTTGACCGTTTTTTCAGACAGAATTTCTTTGATATCCATCAATATTCTTATTTTTTTGCATAGAAAACTGAACCAAAGTATTGATTGTTCCGACTTTCTCAACAAAAGTAACGGAATATTTGTGCTCGGGGTGGTTTTTTCTTCAGACAAATTTCGACTTTTTAACTAGCCATTTTTGCCATTTTGTTGGTTAGGAGGAGCAAAATTTATCACTTTGTAGTTATTGTATGGCGTGTGTGGATATAATTTCCACAAAAAATCTCAAATTAAAAAAGTTTCATTTTATTTTATAACATTTAGATTTTTCAAGTTATTACTGTTCCATAGATCTTAGAAGGCAGTCGGAACATTCAGGGCTGCGCCTTGATACGAGCAGTCTTGTTTTTATATGCTTTTCGTCACATATGCATTTTTGGTATTCAGAGACAAAGTAAAAGTTCAAAATAAATGTTTCCCTTTCATACATATTTTGGTATTTAGAGTGGTACGTTTATGATTAAAATATTTATTTCCTCCCTTGATTTTTTTTCTAATTAGCTTTACATTGTTCACTTTTCAGCTGCTATAGCTCAACGCTTAAAGCTTTACAAAACTGGAAATTTTATCTACAGTTTGCGGCTTCTACTAACAAATGCGGAATCCGCTATTAATTGCGGAGTTTACAAACGAGTTGCGGAATCAACGAGCTCTAATTGCTATCTTTCATTGTTGCAATTCCGCAGGACTTTTTATGTGCCGACGAGGTCTTTGTGCGTGAACTCCCCAACATTTGAAACGAGTGTTCCACTTGCTAATTAAAAAAAATTAATTATATTCTAAACCTAATATACACAAATCTGTGGGATTCGCCTTCTTAATGAATAATATCGAACAAGTGAACGATCTTCTGCCTAACTTGGTTCAGAAGGAGCTTGCTTAATTGGTTCGAATGATTCTATTAATAAAATCTGTTAAGATGTGTTTTTCTTGTAAAAAAAATTGCGTGACTTGAATTTCGATTTTACAAAGGCTTCCAAAAACCTCATAATTGATTCGAGGTTCGCTAAAAGTTCTAAATATTCAAAAAAGAAGATTAAAATGATACATGTGTACGCAAACGATAGCTGGTCAGACTCGATTTGTTCAAGGATAACATTCAGGGATAAACCAATATTGTCGAAAAAATGAAACCATTCACGAGTAAATTCGAGTTGCCAGCAATTGCGACTTAAGATAAAACTGGCGGCGCAACTTAAGAAAAGACGTTAGCGGCGCGACTTGAGAAAAGACCTAAGCTGCGCGACTTGTGAAAAGACCGAAGCGGCGCGACTTAGGAAAAGACTTAAGCGGTGCGACTTAAGATAAGATCGACGGCGCGACTTAAGAAAATACGTTTGGTATTGTGTTCAGTCGCGCATGTCACGGCGGTTTATTCTCAGTCGCGCCGGTCTGAAATTGAAAACTTTCAGTCGCGCGGGTCGCGCCATTACCTAAGGTCGCGCCGGTCCCGACGGTAGTTTGAATTGTCCAACGGTCTTCAATTGCCAAGTTTCGGTCGCGCCGGTCTGGAATTGACAATATAAAGTAGCGCCGGCCTGGAATTGCAAAAATTGGGTCGCGCCTGCCTTTTCTTAAGTCACGGACCTCGACCCGGGAAAAAATCTATGGATTGATCTAAGCAATTCAGCAGGCAATTTTGCGTTAAGTGGAAAGCTTCGTGAGAGTGTAATCATGTAATGAACTTGATAGGGAGGCTATACTTATTGACATTTTTTTCCGAGTAAAAGCATTAAGGAACCCTATTGTCGTCACTCCCTAGCCAAGTGTTATATCAAAGGAAATTATTTCACCATTTTTAACAAATTCTAATATTTTCTAAAATCTTGATTTTGCGTAGTAGCTGTTTCCTTGTCTCGCCAAGCAAAATTTGAAATGAATTTTTGGTTGCGTTTATGATCTTAATGAATAAACAAAAGAAGAAGAAGAACTAATTTATCCAAGAGTATAAATTACATAACAGAACAAAACAAAAGACTGAAGGTATGAAACCCTTGGAAAGGGTAGATAAGGAGATCAGTTGATCTGCTTGATCTATGTCTACTCTCAAAATAAACTAGACACTTTATATTAATAATAATTTTAAACTGAATGATACATTTTTTATATTAAAAAGTTTGCCTCCGCAAAAAAAGGCCTCTACGGGAACCGAGTTAGGGCCAAAATTATTATCCTAAAAGTAATCGAGTTGGAAAGTTCCAGTAGATTATCTTTTTTAGTATAAAATTGGATGTTTTTCCCCAACGAAATTAAATTTGATTTATAAGTTTTTATTGTTTAGATGCTTGATTACGGTTTATTTAAAAGCGAAATGCGACGATTAACTTCCCGGGTTGAGCGCAGATTGAAAATGAGCGATAAAAAAGTGAAAAACACAGCGATCGCCATGGACAAATTATCGATGTTCATTGCCAGATTATCGCTAATTTGGCTAACTTTCAGCGATGAAACAGCGATAAGCTATCAAAATGAGCAAAAATATTCAACACCGGGCGTTCGATCCCGCAACAATGAGCTTTGTAAACTTGTATGAAACCTCTGCGCCATCAAGCTTTAGATTTACTCAAGAAAAAAGGCTTATCAACTAAAACTCTTATATCAAAGCTACCAGAAAGAGTTAAAATTTCATAAGTTTTACCGCTGATTTCTACAGAATCATTACTGAAATAGCTCTGAAATATCACATGTTTAGCTATGCAAAAAGTTTAGCTATGCAAAGAATTCGACATGAATTAGCGCTGGAAAATAACAATCACTGGGATACTACAGAAAAAGCGATAATTAACGGTGGGACTTCAACCTGGGTTGAATTTATATAAAGCACTGGGTGGATGATTTTGTATTTTGAATTTCTGTTCACAGACATGAGAATATTAGATGTACTCGGAATAAGGACTGCAAATCTGCTTTATTCTTAAGAAGGAATGCATATCTTAAGAAACTCGAAAGAAACTAGCAAGAATTGCATTCTCAAATTGGAAATGCAGAATCTTGCAGGAATCTTGCAAGATATTATTTTCGCGTAAGTTTTTATTCCGTTAGTTTTTCTTTCACATTACACCAAAAAACTGAATCATCGGAACACCGAAAAGCTTTCTTCTTCGGTGGTGGCCATTTTAAGAGTCTTGCAAGAATCTTGCAAGTTTTGAACTGTAAATCAAACATTGTTAAACAGAGAAATAGACAATTTTGAGGACATTAATACAAATTTTCAATTGGCTTCAAGTCTCGACTATGCTAAGATAAAGATAACCTACAGTCTACAAAATGAGATAATTTTACGAAGAAAATTGATGTCTTTTTGACTCCTCCCTAGTTGACCAGGATGAGCTATCTAATGAGATCTTGTAAAACCTTTGCGTTCAAGATATGTATTATGAGATCTTCATTCGACAAGAGATCTTGTAATTTTCTCGCAAGATTTTACACTGTAAGACATCGGCGTTACGGCCTACTTATTTTATAAATGCTCGAGAGAATCATGCAAGAATAGTTTTAATATGAATAGCCAAATCACCAATTTTTTCTTGAAAATTGAATTGCCTTAGTTGAATTCACGTGGTATTAAAACAAGTGTTAATTCAAATGAAAATACATGTTTTTTCAAGTAAAAACACTTGACAATTCTAAGATTATTGATACTAAATGCATATATCTTGTTAAATAATTGACTACGGATAACTTCAACGAAGTTTGCGACTTACGAAAAAGGTGACAAATAGTTTATGCTTCAGATGGCTAATTGTGTATTGCAGACGAACTTCGACTTTTCATTAAGAACTCTTGACGGAATTCTGAAAAAGAAACGTTTTAAAAAAAACTGATGTGATAGATTGAGCTCAAAATCAAAACTTTTTTTTTACGTTTTGAGGGCTCAAAGTTTGCCAATTTGGGACAGATTTTGCTCCCTTTTGACCATTTTGCTAAATACACGTTGCAGAGGAGAAGAAAACAAATATTTTTAAGGATGTTGCTTTTAAATCCATATTTTTGTTAGTTAATTTAATACTATTAAAATCAGCGAACTTTCCAACTAACAAAAGAGGTGACAAAAATTATGCTTCAGACAAATGGTTGTGTATTTCAGACAAATTTTTTCATGACAGTAATTTGAAAAAAGTCAAGATTTTATTGTATTGCGCTCAAAAAGAAAAACCACTGCTGTGTGCGATACTTTTTCTTATGTTTTGAGGGCTTAAAATTAGACAGTTCGGGGCAATAGATGTTTCTTTTCACCATTTTGCTAGTCATACCTAGCCGGAGTGGCAAAATGATTCATAAAAAGTGTATTGAGGCAACCTAATTGCTAAAAGAGAAAACATTTTAGCAATCACTTCATATCGACGACAGGAAATTTTTTTAAAATGTACTCAGCAGCAAAACAATTTTAAGTCAAAATGATAAATTAAATATACACTTCATTTAACGTTTCATACGCAAAATATATAAGAAATTTTTTTAAGTTATCTGTTCTTGCCAAATCTGACGCTCATAATGAAAAAGTGTTAAAAAACTAAATGGTTCTTAGGTTCCAAATAATTGTCTGATTTTTCAACGTCATCTAGCCGATAGTTCAGTCAAAGTTTGCAAAAATCTTCATGGTTGAACGTTTTTGTCATTGCTTCTGAAATTAGATTATGTTTCTAAATGTTATTTACGCAATGCAATGGTTTATTGCTTTAAAATAATTAAACAGCTTAGGTATTTTAGTGAGTATTTTTGTTTTGTTTCTAATTTGTATTTTTAGTTTTAGATTTTTATTTTTTCAAGATTGTTTTCTGGATTTCACTAGTTCTACGAGCCGATAATTGCTGAATTCCAGCCTTATTCCTAGAAAATCGGTGAACTTTGTCAAAAACCTGTAATTTTTCATGTATAGAGTCTCAGCTCGAAATATTTACTATGCTTTAAAAATACTTACAGAGAATTTTTAACTGGGCTGCTCTAGCTTATGATTTCCAGCCGCTCAAATCTTACTACTTAAATACTGACCGTTGCACTCATAAAAAAAAACAAAAAAAACGTAATTTGTTTATAATTTTCCAGATTGCCGGATTTGAATTCGAGCCAGACGCCTCAGTGAAACTGCAGATGGGACAGCAGAGGTCAATTTATTGTGTGTGTGGTCTGAATGACTTCCAGAGGTGGCTCAAGGCCACAGAGTTGTTCACGAATCCCAGTTCAATCAGGTGCAAACTACAGACTGGCAGATTCAATGCGCCAACAGACAGGTCAGTTCGGAAAGGTCAGCACCTCGGACCGGCCTAGTGTTGCAACAAATGTTCGAATCAAGAGTTCGAACGTTTGACACGAACATTCGAACGTTCATTCGAATGTTGAACTTCCCAAAATTCTGAGCAGTAATTTTTTTTTCACGAAAAACTGGAACCTTCGCAAAAAAAAATAAATAAAATATTCAATTTTGAGTCACGTAGTTAAGAAATCCCAATTATCGCACATGAAGATTTGCATATCAACATGCTCCCCAGATAACAAACTGCGTTTTTTTGTCACCACAACACCAGCTGTACTAAAAACAAGCTCTGCTGGTGTGCTCGATCCTTTTCCAACCAATTACAGAGCAGCATGCGTGAATTGCAATTGTTCACACTCATATGACAATTTTGTTCTAGAATAATCTATATTTTAATGATGAAATTATCATTCGAATGTCAAGTTCCTAGTCTATTGCTCAAAATTGATGAAATATATGAAGGTAAAAATCATTGCCTAGATGCAGGAACCAGCTTAAATTGAGCGGCTGTTGAATAAACCAAGTGGAAACCAATCCGTTGTTAATTCAATTTAAAAATCAGTAGGAGACGAGATTCAGCAAAACTTTGGCATTTAACTGGATTTCCACCCTAATTAGCTGGCTTAAATAAACTTGGCTGGCTTAAACTGAGCACGCGGAGTTGCGAAAATCTTGGAAAAAACTTGGAAGAGCCAGAATACAATATTTTGTCAGCCCAGAGCTCGAATCGATTACTTATATTGGAACAAAACGTGCCAGTTTTACGCCATCCGTACATTATAAAATACTATGATAACAATGAGGCAAATCAACCCAACAAAAATTCAAGAAGCCGGTAATTTTTTTTTTGAAATAGTAAAATTTCCACAAAATCTTGTATTTTCCCTACCTGCACCATTGAGAGTATGAATGGAATTCAGATGACTCAAAAAAGCTAGATATTTGGCCTTGTTCGATGCATAATGGGAGTTATATCTTCGCCAAATGCGCAGAATATAATGCGCCATTTGAAATACATCATCTCTAAATAACGTGTAACCTTCTCACGAGACAAAACTTTAGCGGTTGCAATACCTATCTGTTCGGAAAGGTAAGAATTGGGATACAGAAAAGCTACTTTTTCCTACAGAAAAGTTTTTTTTTCTTGCAAAAGGGATGTGTTTGCGTGGAAATGCCGCTCAAGGGCTGGTTTGAACCAATGTTTTTCAATTTTTAACTACAGTAAAATTCAATAAAGGTTTTTTGATGCAATGTTTTAAAAGTTTTCAAGTGCGTTAAAATCATTCTACAAAATCTAGGTTGAAAAATACGAGGATAAGGATAAGGGTAGGATAAGGATGCTTGAGAGACTGTTGTGAGTTAATTACTGCATTTGTTTTGCTTGTTTTGAACCCAGCTTCAAATAGATCATTGATAGAAGTTATCAGAGGTGGTGAAATTTTAAAAAGCCCGCGTTCTTTTTTGGAATTTTTATACAAGTTTTAAACTAAAAAGTTTACACTTCCGACTTTCGATACGAAAGTAACGGAATATTTGTGCTCGGGGTGGGTTTTTTTTCTTCAGACAAATTTCCACTTTTTAACTAGCTATTTTTTACGGAATTTTTTAAATCATTCGAAAGATATTGTTATCGTGAGCTTAAATTTGAAAAGATATTTTACCTGTGATCATTTTTGGTAAAGTTATGGGGGTTTGAATATTGCCACTTTGGCCAATTTGGGACAATTAACGCGGTATATAATTCGCGCTATTAACGAGTAAGCGAAGAATTAATCTCACAAATTGTTCCAAACTGGTTGAAAAACTCTAACTTGCCATAATTGATTTGTTACTAGGAGCAAAATTTATCACTTTGTACTTTATATGGCGTGTGGGGGAGAAACTTTACAAAAAATGTCAAATTTAGAAGAAAAAAATCCTTTTTTTTACATTTAATTTTTTCATTTTATTACTGCATCATAGACCTTAAGAGGCAGTCGGAACATTCAGGGCTTCGACCTGATACGAGCAGTCTTGTTGTTCCGACTTTCGATACGAAAGTAACGGAATATTTGTGCTCGGGGTGGGTTTTTTTTTCTTCAGACAAATTTCGACTTTTTAACTAGCCATTTTTGACAGAATTTTTTTATATCATTCAAAAAGTATTGTTGTCCTGAGCTTAAATTTGAAAAGATATTTCACCTGTGATTATTTTTTGTAAAGTTATGGGGGTTTAAAGATTGCCATTTTGACCAATTTGGGACAATTAACGCGCGATATATTTCGCGCTATTAACGCGTAAGCGGAGATTTAATCCGCCTTAGAAATCGTTCCAAATTGGTTGAAAGAAGCTTATTTGCAGTAATTGATTTGTTACTTACAAAGAGCGAAATCTATCCTTTTGTACTTTATATGGCGTGTGGGTGGATGAGTTTCAAAAAAATCCAATTTTAGAAAAAAAAAATTTCATTTTATTTTATGAAATTTTTTGTATGTTATTACTGCTCCATAAACCTTAAAAGGCAGTCGGAACATTCAGGGCTTCGCAGCCCTGATACGAGCAGTTTTGTTCTTTTTATAATTCAAATCAACTCCTACTTTAAAATTAGTGTCAATTAATAAACCTCAAATCAGCAATTATCAGAGACGATTTTGCTCGTTAATTTTAAATACTTATGTCTGTTTCAGTTTGCTCAACGTGCACAATCTTTGCCAAAAATCAAGACAATCAACTGCCGTAGCTTTACATGGTTAGTGTTTATCATTGGCTTCAGAAAAAGCAATCATTATGCGGGAAACACATGTGTTCAATATGTTTTCGAGCTTTAGATATCCGACAGAACTTTTTTTAGATTGTTAAAAATAACGATGCCCTAAGCTCCAAACTATAGCAATTTAAACAGCCGCAACTTCTCTTGCGGATTTGGATATAGCCAATTGGGGTACGTTGAAGATGTTATGTAAACTTTGAACTATTTGTGACGGGAATTAAGACCAAAGAATTTCTATCAAAAATGTTATCCTCAGCTCAAACTCAAAAATATCTTTCACTTGTTTTATATTTGTAGAGTTTAATTGATTTGAAATTTGACAATTTGGGACATTTAACCGACCATTCCTTGAATTCTTAATTCGTTAGCCGCTAATAACTTTGACCTAGAAAGCATTCCAAATTGAATAGAAACAACATAATTGGTTTTAATATTTCGATACTAGCTAGAAAAAACGCAGACAATTTTTTTAAATAGTCAGGAAACAAGTCCACCTGAAAGAATCAAATTTAATTTCATTTAATTGTTACCGTAGAAACCGTTGCTTTCACAAAAAGTGTCAAATTAAAAAAAAAACATTTTTTTATTACATTTAATTTTTTCATGTTATTACTGAGCCATGAAAGAAGTCGGCCTGAAACAATCAAACTTAATTTCATTTAATTGTTAGCGTAGAAACCGAACTAATACAACTCAGAAATCATTCAAATCAAACTTAAGGCAAGCTGATTGATCCAAACAGTTTATAGTAGATGCCAAGCAAAAAACATCTTTTTAAATTGTATGCTCAAAAAACTTTGCAAGAAAAGAATAAAAAATTTGAGATAAAACTATGCAATAGTTAGAAAACAATGCTTACCAAAAACTACCTTTTTTCATATGCTTACCAAAAACAATGTGATCTGAAATTAATTCAATTCAGCGTAATTTCATACCTATAGTTGTATCCTTACAAAATCTGAGTTATGTGTTTTAGCTGAGGCACACAGAAATAAATGCAATCAGTTTCATAAAATGAAATTTTCTCCATTTTGACCCACTTTTTGATTTTTTTGCATCAATTTGGCCATGAAATATCTGAAATCCTATAAAATTTTGCTTTATTTTGTAGAAATTTTTCAGCAAAATTTATGATATTGTTCCGCTCGGCCGTCCTGTACCATCTTGCAGTACAAAAACATCAATTTTATAGTCTAACCGATAGTTTCACAGATTAAATTTATTTATTTGATGAGTTTTACCTATGCGCTTTATAAAGTAGAAAAAAGGTTATACATGACATCTAGCAGCGTAAACATTAACCTGCCTCAATTTACTTTATTTTGATTTATGAACCGGTTGATATTGCCGCTTACACTTACGCTGATATTACCCGATCATTTTTTATAAAAACCTCCATTAAGTTACTAAAAATACTACAAAAGCTCATAGGACAGATACCTTCTTAAAGAAGAGCTAAGTACAATGACTCCATCATTAAGATACCAAGCTTGAATGCTTTGATAATGATTTGGATTCTTGTTGCTGGAAACCATAAAATGGCAGAGGATTCTCCATAACATTTTTTAAAAAAGCACAAGAAAAAAATATATTAACAAAACAAACACTTCACTTATAAGTGATAATGAGTAAATATTGAATTTCAATATTAATAACAAAGTTGACAGAACTTTATGTTGGCAACAAATATCTCCGGATTCTAGCCACAATAGTCTCTAAGACATACAAGGCGAATGCGGTGTTCCAAAAGATATGAACAAATCTTCAAAACTGGCTACTAACACATATCATTTTCTTTGATTACTTTTTGCAACTCTTTTGAAATCTGGAACAATACTCAAGTGTAATCTCATGTTTTGTGAAAACACTTTGACGCATACCATCAAGTCAAAAACTGTCACCAACTGAAATCCTTCTGTTAAAAATCATTTGTAAAGCCAAATTTTACTGCTACTAAAAAGTCACGCCCATGCTTCATTTTCAAACTAGGCTAGCAAGAATGCTTCAAATAGCAAGAATCGTAGCAAATCAGGAAAGTGAAATTACGCTTACAAAATTTAATGTTACAATGACGAAATTCTGAAATCAAACTGTGTGCATACATACAGTACAAGATATTTTTCATTTTAATGTCAAATGTGATTGCTAGTGCAATTTTGACCAATTTTGCATTTTTTTGAGATTTAAAGTTTTCAAATAATTTTTTGATTGGGGTGAACGCTTCTCTTATTAATAAGTTTAAGGGTTAACTTCAGAAAACTTTTAAGCCTCGCGCCCATAAAAGATGTCAAACCACTGTGTGTAAAGCTTTATCATAAGCAGAAACATTTACAACGAACATCAAGGTCACTTCTAGTCTGTTTCGCTCATATGAGTTACAACATATGTTTTTCATTACTGTCGAAAAAACTATGAGAGCTATTTTTTCTGTTTACAGGAGTGGGTAAATTGAAGGGATCAGTTGCTGCGCTGATAGTGACGGGGTCAGTAGTGGGTATCATTGCCATATGTGTAATCTCTTGTCATCATCACAGAATAGGCAAGACTGCCAGGAGCATGCGACAAATGAGAAATACACCGCCATACCAAAGATAAAAACAACAAAATCAATTGGCGTAGTTGGAACTTACTTGCTGTTAGCATAAATATAATTATAGTACTAAATAAAATTCAAAGCTTTTATTGTTAGCAAAAAACTATTAGCTTGAATACATCAACTGACAAATTAATGCTGAAAGTTTTAAGAGTAACAAGACTGATCGTCTAAGGAATAAGTCATCAGTTGAGAAACTCAAAAATTTGAAAAGTTTCAAAGACAAAATTTCAGATACTTTTTTAAAATATCACTCAAAACGCTATGTAGAGTACAAGTGTTGTAATAAATTTTTCAAAAAGCCATAACTTTACCAAAAAAATGATGACAGGTGAACTTTTTCCACGCTTGATCTCAGGGTTTCACTATTTATCAGATGTTGAACAATCTTTCATCAAATGTTTATAATCAAAAAGTTGACATTTGTCTGAAAAAAAGCCCACACTGAGCGCAAATGTTCATTTCTCTATTCTAAACTTGGAACAATGTTTAAAGTTAAAGCGCCGTTCTCGCTTTGACAGAACGAAATATATCGCACACCAAAAGTAATTTTTCTAAAATCTGAACTTTATGCAGCTAGGAATTTCTTACTACTATTTTTTAACAGCATAAAGCAAAAGAGAGAGAAGAATTTGATGCGCTTAGCAGAAGTGGAAGCTTCAGAGTAATATAAAAACAGACGTATGTCGTCTAGTATTAAACTTTACAGAATGTAATCACCCATAATACCAAAACCCTCTAGGAAAAATCCCCATGTTGGGAATTCAATTGTATAAATCAGATGCGACAAAAATCTTTTTAATTAAATCTTTTCGACAAATTTTTCTATGCCAACAAAAAAATAGAATTGTGTTGAGCCCAAACTTAAAATTTGAAAAAGTGTTTTCTTTGTGGTAATTTTTGTAATTTTGTGGATGTTTGAAAAACTTGAATTTGTCCAATTTAAGACGAATAACTTCTAAGATAAATTTATTGCGTTCCTCTATTTCAATAACACGCGTAAACGACACGATAAATATTTTGTCATCTATTTGACCAAAAACTTGTTTAATTGGCCTGAAAGTTAAATCAAAACACTCTGGGCTTTACCCTGGTATATGAGCAGTCTTGTTTTTCCGACTTTCAAAAAAAAATGATGGAATATTTGTGCTCGGGGTGTTTTTTTTTTCAAATTTCGGCTTTTTACTTAGCAATTTTGACGGAATTTTTTTTAACCATTAAAAAAATTGCTGTTCTGAGCTCAAATTTATAAAAGAAAAAACATTTCACCTGCGATCTTTTTTGGTACAGTTATCAGGATTTGGGATAATTAACGCGTGATATATTTTGTACTACTGACGCGTAATCGAAAATGCTCGTTTATGAACTGAGGCACATGCTGCTTAGTCTACTTAATACTTCGCTGTATGATAAATATATCACTTTGTACTTTTTATAGCGAGCAGTGGAATGATGTTTACAAAAAACTTTGAAAAAGGGAAATTTTTGTTTATTTAACTATTTTGTAAATTTCATCAAATTTTTTAACGACAAAATTTTTTTATAGATGTTGAAGAGCAGTCGGAACACTCAAGGTTTTGCCCTCCTTCAAGCGGCCTTGTTCTGTTTTCGCTTTGTTTTTTAATTTGTGTTTTTCACTTGATGAATTATTTTCTCAGTTCGCATTCTTGTCCGATTCTAATGTGGGGGTTTTAAACTGCAAACTGGTAGATAATGTCCGTGGGGGCAATTTTTATGTGGAGTTTTATACTGTGAGAGATTAAGTCTGCCAGCAAAATATTGCCGTTAATTTAAATCAAAACTCATTTAGGGAACAAAAATTGGTTTTCAGGTTAGTCATATGAATTTAATTAAGCTAAATTTCTTTAATTTTAACGAAAATAAATGAAAAAATTTATAATGTTAAAAAATTCAAATATACTTAAAACCTCATCAAAATTCCTCATCAAAGGATTGAAAAAAAAGGAGAAATTAACAATCTTGCTTCAATTTTGAACGACTGATTACAAAACAAGAAGAACTAAATTGCAGCGTTCAATTTGTTACAAATGTAAAGATATAAACATACATCGAATGTTAAAATGGCTTCTGAGGCTGGCCCTATTGATTTTCTCTTTTCAAAACTCAATTTATTCAGCCGTTGCGCAAAAAATTGCCAATGAAACTGCAACTAGTTGACATAGTTTTTTTTTACTTTTTTTCAAAAATTTAACTAAAATTTGAACCAAACCGCTCATTCGAAAATAATATTGACTTTGAAACAATGGTACTCCGTTGCTGCCCTTGCTCCATGAGGGAAGTTGACTGAGTGCTACTACCGTTTCTCACCAGATTTTACGTAATTTATTCCACAACTCAATTCTTATTTTTGACTTTTGTACAAACTTTTGCTTGTTTTTCAAAATTATTTCGTAGTTGATATCTCATTTTCTCCAAACAAAGTACTGCATAAAGTTTGAACCACCCTTGCATTTATAAAAAAAAACAAAGAAAATAATTTTTATATTCAAACTCAATATTTAAAAGTAAATAAAGCAAACTTCACCTAAAACCGTTTTCAAACAACAAATCTGTATTGTCAGAAAAAGAAGCATTGTTGATATATTTTTTGCTGTCTTCAGAACAAATTAGAACGGAGATAAAGTGGATGGGTTTAGCGAACGAAGAACTTGTTGAGATACTAGAAAAATAGTTTAATTCGACAAAGGAGGGGCAAACTTGAGTGTCCCAAGCTGTTTAAGTTTAATAATCTGATTGTTGCTCGTTTAAAGTAAGGGTTCTCACTGATTTAAGAATATGGAATTAATTTTGTGTCATTTCAATACTTTCAAAACTCATTGCACTCAAAACATGTTTTTTAACGCTCGTAATTATAAAAACAACATCTTAGAATCTTAAAATAAAATTAAGTGAGCTCATAATTTCAGAAAGTACGAAAGGTCAAATAAACGTCAAACAATTAAATTTTTACAAAAATTATTGGTACAGACAGAATCTCCATGGTCAACTAAGAGACGTTTAGAGATTCGCAAGATTATTTTACTTGAGTGTTGCTTAAGAGTATGTTGAAACTGATTGTTTTACTCCGCAAGATTTAGTTAATCCAGCATTACGAGACAAAAATGGCAATAAAAATCAAACTTATAGGAAGAAAGTACTCTTCTAGCCTGCTTCTAGTGGCAATTTAATAAGCTAGAAAACTGCTAAAATGAATTGTAAAACGCCACAAAATACGCCACAAGGCCATAAATTAGAAAAAGTTCTTAAAATAATGGGATTTAGTCTGAAAAAGGAAAACAGTATATTTCTTGATAACTTTATTTTCCACATTTGACCTTTAAAACACAATCATCAAATAGAACAATTTTAAAAATTAGCCTATCTTTTTTTTCTCTATATTTTCAGCACGATTGAGTTAAATCAGCCATCTCAGCAAAAACTGCCCTTAAACTACCGTGAACTAGCTGACTAAAAACTTTGTTTAATAGTATTTAATTAACATTTAACAGGAATAACTGAACTCGATTGAACTTCCAATCTTTTTTTTCTTCGGAAAACTTAATTTAAAAAATGTACAAAAGATGCTAAAAACAAAATTGTACAAATTTGAAACAAGGACTGCCAGTTGTTGTCCTTCCTTCAAAAAAACGACAAAATAAAAAGTTAGAGATCCGCAAAAAAAAACAATTTTCTCAAGAAATCTCAATAAATGTGCAAAATTTGTTTTCTCCAAAATAAAGTCCGACAGAGAAAACGTAAATAGATATATTGCAAAACGAAGGATTCGAGAGAGCGCTTTCAATTTGACATAATACAGAAACAAGATCTGGAGCTCAACACGTGTCCAAACTTGTTGTTGATGAGAAGTAACTAAGCTGATGTCTTCATATAGGCAGCTAGTCATGAAGGCAACTAACTAGTCTTGAACTAGAGAGGCAACTAATTCAATGATGCAGTCATCAGCTTATTCAGCGACTACAAGTTTCAATATTCCAAAATATTGATAATATAAAAGATTCGATATTCCGATCTTCCAGACAATTAGAGAACTATTGTGTTTGTAGATCTTGAAAACCATTTTTGGTGACGGGCCCTAAAGCTTTTCTAAAAGCGCCTCCAGCGCCAATATATACTATTTTTGAGGTGGGAGCGCGCTCCGAAAAAAACGCAATTTTGTGGTCATAATTTTCCAAAAATTGCCTAAAAACGCCTTCTTTGGGCCCGTTTTTCTTTCAAAACTTGGCCTGCGGCGCAGAAAATTTGGCCAAAATATGGTCTTTATAGTGATTTAGGAGAGCTCAGAAAATCAATTTGGTCGACCTGAAAAAAAATAGTAAGCCTCTTCAACGATGCGCATGTTTTTAACCTCTGTATACTAAACTCTTTTTGCTTTTTGTTTCATACTTTACCGACGCTATATAGTAAGCGTTGGACTCGTTTGAGTGCTATAAAACAAGACTGCTCGTATGTCATGGCAAAGCTCCAATCATTCCGGCTGCCTTCAACTGGCTTTCAGATATTTGATAACAAAATTTTGATAAACTATAAATATTGGAAGGTCAATGTAAGTATTTAGTGTTGAAAATTGAATCGCATAAAAATACAGTTCGACCACTTGGATTGAGTTAAACTTGAAAAAATTTTGCTTTTGAAAACGATTCGTATTTCGCTTTCAACATCACAAATAAAAGCTCCAAACTATTAAGCGAGGAGTTTACGCAGGATCGAACTTCATTTAGGATAGCGCTTAACTGATCCGCTTGGAAGCACGTATAATCCTGGTTTGATATCCAATCAAAACTAATCTTTCAGAAAATGATCTGCATAAAAAAATTCCTCAAGCATGTACATCCCTCACTTTCTTCGAAAACTCGGAAATTATCAGTACTATACGTTTTGGTTCTGTAGTTTATGAATGACAGTAGTTCAGTAGTTTATTTAATTTATGAACATTTTCGGTTTGAACGACGAGGGGGTAACAAGCGGGGGGCCACACAACGCGGAATTATTTTTTCGAAAAAGAAATCCTTTGAAGAAAGGAACTCCAAAAAAGGATGAAGTACTTGGGTGCGGAGTATTTTTCAGACTTGGTTGACTTTTCAACAAACAATTTTTGACGCAATTTGTCGTTCATTTTAATAGTTTCTTATGCTTTGAGCTCAAAAAGTTAGAACGGTGTACCAACTGCATCTTTTTTTAAGAAGTTTTCAAATCGTCATTATGAAAATTTGTTCAGAAGTATTTACCAGTTTTACCGAAGGGGTGTTTTCAAATCGCCATTATGAAAATTTGTTCAGAAGTATTTACCAGATTTACCGAAGGGGGGTTTTAAAAGCGCCATTATGAAAATTTGTTCAGAAGTGTTTACCAGTTTTACCGAAGGGGGTTTTCAAATCGCCATTATGAAAATTTGTTCAGAAGTATTTACCAGTTTTACCGAAGGGGGGTTTTAAAAGCGCCATCATGAAAATTTGTTCAGAAGTGTTTACCAGTTTTACCGAAGGGGGTTTTCAAATCGCCATTATGAAAATTTGTTCAGAAGTATTTACCAGTTTTACCGAAGGGGGGTTTTAAAAGCGCCATTATGAAAATTTGTTCAGAAGTGTTTACCAGTTTTACCGAAGGGGGTTTTCAAATCGCCATTATGAAAATTTGTTCAGAATTATTTACCAGTTTTACCGAAGGGGGGTTTTAAAAGCGCCATTATGAAAATTTGTTCAGAAAATTTTACCAGTTTTTTATTAAAGCGAAGCCTAGGCGACAGAAACAGCAGGCTTTATCTTTGTTCTAAAACCAATTGATACTTGCTACTTTCTAATAAAAATGGCAAATTTGGAATAACTTATTCTGACTATCTTTTCATTAACGCATATCATAGAGACAGAAAAACATGACTCTAAAATTGATCCACATTAAAGCAATATTTGCTTATTGCTTCAAGTTTTGCATAAATGCAAAATATATTACTTTATTTAATAATGCCTGAGTGATTTCGAAAAAACTCTAACTTTTGGAGTTTTCATTAATTTTTTTGGGTTGAAAACTACATCAAACCTTTTAAAGGGCAGTCGGATCATTCAAGTCTTTGTCGTGGTAAGAACTTCTTTATACTTCTGCTCATTGAAAGGGGGGGGGGGCAACTTTGTTTTCGAGTGATTTTTTCTTGCTGCCCACGCAAAATCAGGTACCACAAATAATCATGGGAACGGATTGAGTGACATCATAATTAATCTTTTCAGTCGTGAATCAAACACCAATAAAAAATAGTGTCGAGAAAAATTGGCTTAACATTTTTGAGTTGCAGTCTAGTTGTGACAAAGACAAGTGTTATGAAAAAAATGTTCATTTCAGTAGTGAAAAACGTTTCGTTTCATTTCATTCAGCGCTTCCTTGGCAGATTTTTTCATGAAAATGAAAAAAAAACTGTTCTAAATTAGAAAACTTTCATAATAAGGGTTTTTTCATTCATTTTCGAAGACAACTGTTGTCAATTAAGACTAAATCGACGTAGTTCTCTCATCAACGCGCACATTTTTTTTTGTAAATATGGTCGGAACATTCTGTGCTGCTTGCACAGCAAACGGCTATCCTTGTTCGCTTTGGAACTGTTGTTTTACTGCTCCTTTTAGCTCTCTGAATGCGTCCATCTGTTCTCTGGTGCCGACAGAATCTTTCCTTAAAGATAACCTATATCAGACTTACGACTAATGATTCTGATGCCTCAGATGCTTTTGCATGACATAATCGTTTGCAGTAGCCGATTTAGGGGTGGTGGCGGACAACCCTTCAGGAATTCAACCCCTGACAACCCAAAGGTCCCCTCTTTGGAATTATTTGAAGGCTAGTTGACTTTTAAACTTCTGTAGTTTGACTGACCCTAAATATACTATTTTTGAGTGGGGAGCGCGCGCCGAAAAAACGCAATTTTTGGTCAAAATTGTTCAAAAAGAGCCTAAAAACGTCTGTTTTGACTGTTTTTGCAAAATTTTACCAGCAGTTTTTGACAGGCTCTCTTATTAGAAAAATTCGATAGGCTCTAGGCTCTTTTTAGCGCTGTGGGAAGCTCGAAAAACCAATTTGGTCGACCTAAGCAAAAGGTCAACAAAATTTTCGAACCATTTTTGAAAATCCCCCTAAAGAAAATTCTAGATCAGCCCCCAGATCATTTGCGTTACAGAAGACTTCGAGGAAAGACTACGAGGAAAACCTACGGCTTAGTAAAACAAGACTGCTCGTATATCAGGGCAAAGCCTTGAATGTTCCAACTGCCCCTTAATTCATATCGAATAGTTTTTGGGAAAAGAAAATATTGAAAGCCTATAAATTTTGGACAATATCAAAGTGTGAAATGTTGAGTCGCACAAAATTAATAGGACGGATCTGATTAGCTAGCCTCAATTCAATTTGGAAAGATCTTGTTGTGCGATATAATTTGCCACGCATAAATAATTCGCGTTACGTTCTCAGCAATATGAATAAATTATTCAAAGCGCGCTTAATTTAGTCCAGAACATGGCCAATTTGGAAATTTTCAAACACCCAGAACTTTACAAAAAATGATTGGAGGTAAAATGTCGTTTTAAATTTGAACTCAGGAAGTTGATATCTTCAATGGGGTATGAAACACTTTTGCCTAAAACTATTATTTCGATCGGCGCAAATTGACTGAATGAAAAAAAACCACACCGAGCAGAAATATTCCGTTTTTTTTGAAAGTCGGAATAAAAAGATCATATTCACACTCCAAGAGTAAATTAATATCGATTAGATAAATATGCAATTGGACAGATATGCTGCTAGGCAGGATATATTATTCAGATATTAATTTTATTTACATTGCATTAAAGATTTCATAGCTTAGGAACTGGAAATAAAATACACAAATTGCATATCAAAAGCAAAATTATCATAAGAAAACTTACAATACGGTATACAAAGCTACAGATGGTACTTAAATACTTTTTATATATCGCGCTTTCAACTCATTTCCAAGTAGTGGTTTATGACCCGACGAGAATCACACAGACTGTCGAGAAATGAGATTTTACTTCCAATTTAGGCTACCTAAATAGTTTTCAGACATCAACTTCTATACAAAGAAGAACTTCCATAGAAGAGAAGCAAGTTAGATATGGAAGTTATCAATTCAACTAAGTGAACAGGTCAGTATTTTGGAATTTCAAAATGATCAAAGACTTCTCTTAATATAATTGAGTCTTTTTCGGTATAAAGTGTCCAGCTCAGAGGTGAAAAGATAGATCATATCAAATCATAATTAGAGCGAATTTAAGACCATTTGATGTAATAATCGATTGTTTTCATTCAAAGGCACATATGATCAGCACGAAAACAAGATGGATATCGAGCTATTTTTAACGTATTAGATTTACAGAAACGCAATTTTATCAAGGAATATTATAAAACCAAAATTATCCGTCAAAATTGATAAATTTATACCTCGTAAAATTGTATTCAGACAAAGTTTTAAGTTATCAACCCAAATATCTTTGAGACGGGGCTGTCTCTGACATATAGTTTGACATTGGGCCTAGGACTATACCTACCATGATGTAATCCCACGTGAAACCAAACTCCTCACTAAATCCCCGTATTTGAATTTAAAGTCCTTCCTGAAAATTCAGTACCATTGATGGGTATTTTAGTCCTGGAGGATGATATACGGCAGGATTTTTTACAGAGAGTTTTAGTCCGCGAGCGAGGTTTCACAAAACGGAACCAGAATTTCCTCATAGCAAACAGTTTATAGAACCGATCGGCGGTTCAGGTGAAATCGTCACCCTCTGGAGCTGCTTCCTGTTCTTCCTCCGTTGGTAGGTTGTTTTCCATGTCTAACATATCGCCACCAGGAACCATCTCCAGTGACGCATTCGAATCATATCTTGTTATAATTCCATCCGTGTCATTACCCGCCGCTGGAGCAACATCAAACTCGTGCAGAACTTCATCGTCCTGCGCTTCCAAAACCTGTTGGTCCTCTTGCGGACCCCCTTCAGGGACCGGAGGCCCAGCAGTCGCAATTGGGGATACAGGGGGAGTTTTTCCAGGCAGTGGATCGGGTGTTAAGTCACGAATGAGGGCATCTGCAAAATGAACCACGTAGTTTTGAGACGAATGATTGGGCGATAGGGGGGTCATAACAGCAGCTGGGATGTCAAGTCCTGTTAACGGCAACAGTAAATAATTAAGCAAAACAAAAACATGGGCAATACCTGGAATTATCACTCAACAAAACTCGAAAACAAATCGGCAACATATTAAGAAACTTGCAGCTGCAATAGTTTTGATCCAGTTGATTATGAAAAAAAAAAGATATGTGAGTTTCAGCCGCACAAAAACTAAACCGGTTAAGAGTGAATAAGGAAGGAATACGTGGTTAAGAGGGCAAAAAGATATGCATCCGTGGATCTTCATACAATTTAAATTGTTTTGCAGAAACTTTTTTGAATTTTTTATTTCCAAAACGGCGCTAGAAAAGTTCGAACTATTATTTCACTAGAGTAAAACTAAAGCTTCACGGCTTAATCCTCTATGATAAACCGGATCACTGGCTTTACTAGCTCAAAACTAACCTAAATTTTTTAAACTATTTTTTCTTGACACTGGGACAACTTTTTGAACTTTTTCTGTTGTTCGAATTACGACTTAAAGGGCTTTAATAGGATGTAACTCCCGAAGCATCCCAATAACTACTTGTGATACCTGTTTTTCCGAGAAAAACAAAAAATTAAAACACACCCGAAGACAAAGTTGCTTCCCATTTCTCATTCGGATCAGTAAGCGAATTTTCGTTCATGAAGACAGCATCACGATTACGAAACGTTGTGATATGATATACAACGGACCAAGTTAACATCCTCCCCCTAAACACGTTTAGGGGGGAGGATGTTAACTCGATTCTAAGTTGGGAATTTTCAGCCAATCAGAATCGAGGATTTTAACTTGATCCTATACAACTTGAAGACGTTTCTTTGCGAAACGGTAAACAGCATTAAAAAATTCAAAGTGCCAATAAAACCGACGACATCTGTTTCAGCCAGAAAATTGGAAAACTTCCAGCAAAATATGTCCTTTGATATATGAAACATAATTTAAGCAGTGTGACGTTTATCGCGATCCAGAACGCACATAAACTGCATTAATGGAGGTAAATTTTTGATAATTCAGAATATTAACTGATGCGTAAAAGGTAGTAATAAAAGACCTCAATGTACCCTGCCGATAATTTTTTTGAAATCAAACCATACATGCGAATTTCAATTCAGAATGAATAACAATAGAGTTACCTAGCATATAAAATTCATAATTTAAAGAAACGTTTCAATAGTGTCGTTAAGTGTTCACCGGTACGTAAAAACATGATTTCGATGTCAAGAAATTGAGGAATTTGCGATATTTCAACTTTAAATATGAAGAAATTCTGATTGTCCACTGGGCTCTTGGTTCTCGTATAAATTCACTCAATTGGCACCAAGATTCATAGTGAGATAAAATCGTATACCTCATACAATTTACTGATAAGATATCGGCAATGTTTTTAGAATGGACAGCGATTCGTAATAAAACTTGAGGATGTAACTACAATTAGTAACAGAGTAGTTCGAATCTACTTTCATACTTTTGAACATACTTTTTTGAAGATACTCTTTCAAGTCACTGTGGTCAGAACCTTCTGGGCAACTTCTACTTGTTGTTACTTGAGACTTTGCTCAGAAAATACAACCAAAACCAAAATTCTGATCGGATAATACAATGCGTTCAAAAATTTGCAAATCCAGTAAACCAATCTTGGCGAGTAAAATCACAAGACTCATAGTAGACTTGGCATCAAACTATTTACAAAAAGATAATAAGTTTCAACAGCTAAAGAAAGAAAGAAAGAAATAAACAAAGAATTAATTTCTCCATTATAGGATAAGTACAGATACAACAGTAATTTTTAAGTATATTATGAAACCCAAATTATTTGTTGTACCAAATACCAGAATGGAGTGGATAGACTAAAGGTACAATACGTACCGTACCTATCGAGAGTCTACCCAGACACAACTTTGTGACAAATTTAAATTAAATAAAAGAAAAAAATTTCACGAAAGTCACTGATTTCGCGAAAGTTAAAAATTGAAAAAGGACGATATCTCGGAAACTAGAAGGATTTGGAGGTTCACTTTTTCGGACAAGAATCGCAACCCTAAAAGGGTGCTTTATTAGCCTTTAGCCAATGTGTATAAATTTTAATTTATTTTTACAAAATAGAGGAACAAATAATTGTTTTTTGGAGTTTCTGGTTTTATATGCAAAAATTTTCGGAGAAATTATTAAATTTAACAAAAAATTTGGGTGTCTATGATGCAAGGATCGGAGGCTAAACTTCAAAAAACCTTATAAGTAAAGTTCATGTACCGTTAGGATTTTAAACCCAGAAAAATTATGTTATACTATCACACTTCCTCTTGAAAAAAATCATTCGACCAATTTTTTGGTGTAAAATTTAAATTTGTTTCAAAAGAGAAAAAAACTGGTTCCCCCATATACAAGAAAACCGTTTTGTATTATTGGTTTGATTTTCAACTGGCAGTATTTGAGTTAAATTGACGTTGGAACATAATGGCGCATTTTTCAAAACAATGCCACAATGACGACCTAGTTTCGTTTTAATTTTTTGAATATGAAACACAAACGACAATTTCCATACCAGTACAACACCCAGATAATTACAGGATGACTTCGGCTCATACATTATTTCATCTAGGAGAATTTGAAGACTAGAAGCACGACTATTTCTATCAAAAGTTATTAAAGATGTTTTATCTGAGTTGAGTGTTAATTTATTTGCACTTAACCATTTGGAAATATTCGTTAAAGCTTTTTGAAATAAATAAAAGCACAAGTTTTTACATGCCACATTTGTATCATCAGCAAAAAGAAAGACATTTGAATCAGTCGCTGAGAGATGCAGGTCAATAATATAAATGAGAAAAAGAATAGGGCCAAGAACGGAGCCCTGCGGTACCCCTGTATTTATGGGTAACCAGCCAGAAGTTTGATTATTAATTTGAACGCACTGATACCTATTGGACAAATAATTTTCAAGCCAATTCTAATAGTTCTCACGTATTCCGTAACAATCTAATTTTCGAAAAGAACTTTATGATCAAACGTATCAAATGCTTTCTTTAAGTCAAGAAAGAAACTATCCTTGATTTTTCCCTTAATCCCTTGACGAAAGCGCTCAGTTAATTCCACGAGCACGTCGATTGTCCTATTTTTTTTTTCGTGAAATCCATTCTGACCATCATAGAGCAAATCGAATTTTTTATAATAATTGTGAAAACGAAAATGCGTAAATTTTTCTATTATTTTGCGGAAATACACCAGGAATGAAAGAAGGTTTATTATGTATGTTAACAAAGGAGCTATAACCTAACAGCTTTTTATTAGCAGCAAATTGCTTATTTCATTTTTCCGGAAGTTTGTTTGGGCTTCATGCTGCTTCTAACACTTATGACCTCTTGGAAAAAAACATTTAAAAAGGTACATTGATTTAGTAGCATTTTCAAAATCAAAGATTGGTTCTACTTAAGATATAGACCTTGCTAAATTAGATCCAATTGATGAGAAGAATCAGACACATTGCTACCATCAACAGATAAAGCTGTAAAACTAGATGACTTGGTTTTTCTTTCTGTTATTTCATATAAAAAATTGCGAACTTTTCTCGAGTCTGCAATACAACTACTAAATCTTTTGTAGATTTAATCTCTTTTCGTTGCTTTAAAAATTTTTTCAGTTTTTTGTCGTTCTCTTATAAACTTCTTTTTTACGCGAATTTTCCTTATCACGTTTCCAAGTTTTATACAACCCATTCCTCCGCAGAGGGGCAAACACCTTTATTGATTCAATAAGACATTCAATAAAACTATTGTCGGCAGTATCAACATTATTTTCGTTGGCAATAATTGAGATTTTAAATTTTTGTTTCAGCTTAATCAGGAAGTCATCCAATTCAATTTCTTCATTAGAAAAGAGATATCACGATATCATTGCTCAACAAAACTTTCACCATTGAGATTGGCTTTTAAACAGATATGATAATGATTCGAAAAGCATTCAAACGCCAGCACTTTAACATTAGGTCTATCTTTATTTCTAACTATGATATCATCTATTCGAAAAGCATTCAAACGCGAGCACTTTAACATTAGGGCTATCTATATTTCTAACTATGATATCATCTATGTAAGTTTCAGATGATTCATTAAACCTTGTCCCAATTTTATTTTAGAATATCGAAGCCATTAGATGTTACAGTATCAAGATAACCTTGTTGTGGATTGTTGAACTTGAGAGTATTTGTATTAAAATCTCCTGCCAGGACAATCGGTACTTTATTTCGAGTAAGTTTTTCAAGTTCTTGATCCAACTCTTCAACAAATGGGATTTTATCATCACGAGGGGGAACATTTAATCCGTTTTTCTTTACAAGGACTGAAATAGATTCAGACAAATTGCAATTCAGTAGATCAATTAAAACAACTTCACCTAACTGAATCATAGTACCTCTTCCTCTTGTATTTCTATTATTTTTTTAGGATCGTGTTGATGCCTTGCATTATATACTTATTAAATTCGTCGGTATCATTTAGCTAAATTTCTGTGAGGCATTTTATTTTGACTGGAGACTCGAGACTACTAAGAAGTGTTTCTATATCTTCATGATGCTTACGGAATGATCGAACATTAAATAGCAACAAATTTAAAGATTTGATACAACTACTTTTTTTTTCGGCAACACCAGCTAGCAACTCTGCCTAGGATCAACTACAGGCATTCACCGTCACGCTGACTCTACTGTCTGGTTATTGCAAACAAATTCTTTTTTTTTGAAGAAAAACCAAAGCAGATGACAAGTGAAAAGTTACCTGATTAGATTTTTTAAACGGCAAACTAAATTTTTTTCTACTGTATAAAAACGAAGTCCCTTAGTAGCATCACTGGTAGCATTTGTCAATTTCTTGCCATGACATTGATCGTATAAGTTAACACTACAAACACGCGATCTGAAACCCAATAATCGTAGGTCCTTATAACCAGTTTATTCAATTTTTTGAACTTCTTAACATTATGGCTACTGCTTCTTCTAATTGTGACATGTGCCTAGAGTCTCTATAACCACTGTGTAAACTGGTAGATTTTGTTCTAGGGGGATGTAGGATTTTATACTGAGAAAGATTAAGTCTGCCAGCGAAATTTCGCTGTTAATTAAAATCAAAACTCAATAATGGACCAAAAGTTGGTTTTAAGGTTGTTCATGTCAGCTTTAGTAAGCAAATTTTCTTTCATTATAGCGAAAAAAAATGAAATAGTTTTTAATGTTGAGAGGTCTAAATTTCTTCGGAAAAAAGAAATTAAATATTTTGCTTCAATTTTGATGCACTGACTACAAAACAAGTATAACTAAACTGCAGCGTACATGTTGTAACAAAACTGGAAACAAAGTGCATAGAGGTTGTCAGATTGGGGTAATTTAAAATAGTTCTTGATTTGTGATATTGTCCAAAATATATGGTTTTTAATATTTACTTTACCAACCACTATTCGATACCGATTAGAAAAAATTCGAAAAATGAGCAAATCTTGTAATGAACATAACGATCATTCTGTACTCATAGATTCTCTTAAGTTAATATAGAAGCATATTGTCATTTCTTAGGCTGTAACTTGAGGAGTAAAAGGAAAACTTACAAACAGACCGTTAGAAAAAATCAATGAACGCAAGAAAACAAAAAACTTCAACTTTCCAATTTCAAATAAAAGATTATATGCCCAAACTCTCGTTGAATTTCAAGAGCAAAATATGATTGACACTATTTTGATTAAATCTTTCATTAAAAATATCCAACCCTGCCCAGGTTCAAACCCTCTTATTTTGTTGCGGGTCTCCTTCCCTACCTCTACGCTACAGATTCATGATACCTTGAAGCTAAAATGCTATTTGTAATATAAAAGTCTGAGTTAACTCCTTAGCATTGGATGTACTTAATAGCTGGTTAATGAGCAAAAAGAACACTTTCAAAATGAACACAATTTGTCGCAACAATATTTGCGACTTAGATTGGAAAAAAAGAAAGTTCATACTATAACACAAGCTTTGCTTGTGCAATTAGTGGTTTTTACCTGCAAATTGATGAACTAAAACTCTTACAAAATCTTCGAGATTGACAGTTTGCTCAGCATCGAGTTTGTATGTGGCATTGAGGAGATTAATTGCTCCAGGATTGTGCTTCTCAAGCTCATTAACGAGTAAAAGAAATTCTACAAAAATTCGCCCTCTCGCATTCCAGTTGTAGGGGTTAAGAAACGTATCCCTTATTTGATCAACTAATAACGTGAGACTTCGTGATAGCGTGTCGGGTATTGGCAGGCCATTTTGTCCGAATTGTGCCCTGAATTGGTGCATTAGCTGTCCTCTATTCCGGCTTCTATTCGCCAATACCCAGGGTGTGACAATTCGTGAATGTGGTGGCATCACATTGAAACTGAAAGCCAAAGCTTAATGAAGCACAACTCGAAACAAGCAATGATCTTTCAGTAAGATATATATGCCGTACTGCAAAAACAACTATATTAAATATTAAATTGAACAAGAGAACCACTGTATCAGATTCAGTATTCATGACAAAAAATTTAGCATTTTTCTGCGTTACACTGCTTTTGAGGCCATCATCTGATTAAGCATAGCCAGCAAGAGACAAAGAATGGAAATTTTTTTAGTTGAAAATTAATAACACCCATGAAGAGTTCGAACAAAACTGGTTATAATTTGAGAAATACGACCGCAGAAATTAAAACTTCGATTTTATAAATTCATCAAAATTCATCAAAATTAAGCAAATAATACCAAGCAAAAAATATAAGAACGGTAATGAGTTCGACCATATAAATGAACTCATATACGAATCAACTCAGTCTCTTGGAGAACATTTTAAAACGTTTCGACCCTTTGAAAGTTCGGTTTTAGTCACAGCCTTGGCAAATTGGTTGACTTGACTACACGTTGAAATTGGAAGTTTTTCGCAGATAGCTAAAGCAGTCCTCTTCTAATGCAAAAACGATACCCTAAAATAATTGGCAGTCAGAGAACGTAGCCACCATTTTAGCACTGAATAAATTTAAGGAACTTCAGATATGCAAGTGTGATGAGTTAATTATTTGAAGTTAAAAATCAGATACACAAAGAAGCAAATAAAAATGTATTTATAAATGTTTATTTTCCTTTCAGTAAGCTTTCTGCAACAAAAAAGTTACAGATCTGGGACACATGAAATTTATTTATTATGTAACTATATCTACGCAGATTTTACAAATCCTGTATTTCAGCTGAAAATGTCGCCTTCCGGTGCATTATTCTTATCGACCTCATTTGGTTGGTTGTCTTCAATGAAATCCAACAAATTCTCTCCTTCCTCTATATCTGAGTCACTCTCTGATTCCAATGTAGGAACATTCGAATCCTTTTCTGAAATCAGTTGATCATCCATAGAGCTCAACAAGTGGAACACATGGCCAGGCGGAGGACTGCGCTCCGGAAGACGTTCCCTTTCGTCCCGTAGCGGAAAATGATACGGCGGCCCCCCGTATACTTCATGGTCCTGGTGGTTATTCTGACTTTGGGGTTCAGGCTCTGGAAAGTCGTAGTCTAAACGAAAATATTTCAGATCATTAATCGAAATCACAATACGAGGCCAAACCGTGTAGTTTGTGACTTGTAAGCGGATTCCGCAACATGGACGCTCTTTGTTCTTTCGTTTTATTTGATCGTTCCGACAAAATTTTAACTATGCTTAAAGTCTTGTCTCCGGATTTTAGAGACCTACAAACACTAAACCGTGCGCCTATCCAGTGCACAGTTTGGCCTCGTAATGCAAAACATTTCTTTTTTCATCATTTCCAGTTTTTTAAGAAAAATTGAGTTTGACTCAGTTTCCATCAAAAAGCAATTGTTTTCTCTTAAAAAGGAGCACAAATTAGCTATATGAAAGAAAGGACAAAACAGAGATATACCTGAAAATGCAAGAGGGGGGGTTCATACAGCATATACCTCCATAAACTTGATTGAAACCAGGATTCCAAAAAAAAAAACAATAATCCTATACTGAAAAACTTAAACTGGAAAAACTCAAAATGGGGCAATCATGAAATTTGAAAAATAAATGTAGAAAAGTTGATTTTTTGGAAAATTCTATAATTAAAACGCACTATTTCTAAGTTTAAATAAAGCACTTTTTTCAAAAAAATAACTTTTTTTTTCAAGTTAAATGTTCAAAACGAAAAAAAATATCGAGTAACTTTGCAAGTAGCACAGAATAGTCCAACTGCAATTATCATTGCAAATTCTGAAATCAAAATTTGAAACTGTATTTTCTTAAAGCAATTAAATATGAAGCCTTTAAACTAGCTGATTAAAATATTTTAAAATTTTTTATATGACGGTTAAAAAAACTACTAAATTTGGAAAAATAGATTCACCAATATAAAAATCGTCGCTGAAGTTTGCTCATTAGCCTAAAATTGTCTGAATAGCCAAAAACTATTTTTCTATACAATTTTGTTTGGATTTTTTGAGCAGATGATTTAGGAATGATAGGGCTTCACATAAAATTGAAAGAAGTCATAGTACCTACTCCACATTTCTTTCCAGTCACTTCGTATCGTGGTCGGAACAAAAAAAAAATTAAAATCGTATATGCTATTCTAAGGTCATTTCTCAAATCAAAATCCTGCTAAGTCAGAACTTGCAAGCGTCACTCAACGTATCAACAAATAGTGTTTTACATGTAATTTTCACATAGATGAAACATGGATGAACAAAAAAATTTAAATGGTATTGCAATATGAACACAGATGCAAAGCTGAGCTCTTCACCACTTGCAATACAAAACTAGCAAAAATCGAATCTGTCGAAAAAACTAGATCTATCATACTTAATAAGGCCAATTTTGAAACAAAAACATGCCGAGACAAAAAAAATATTGGATTAGCATCTGAAGATAATTTACCCAGCGGTAACCAAGAGGAAAATATCTTGGCAGAAACCCTTTAAGCCGAACAAAATCAACAAGACTAAAATAAAAATCAGCGAAACAAAGCGGAAACTAAGCCGACAAAAAATAAACCGAAAGCCACGAAGTCGAAATCTCAAACCAAAGAAATATCATTTAAAATATATTATTTACAAATTTATTGGGAAAATACTGAAAAGGATGCACAGTGGAAATTAAAAAACAATGGGCGATAATAGATGCACATACCGCATGCATGCCGTGTAATGCATGCATGCTGAAATCTGTTAACAAAGTTGTTTACGGGAAAAAAATCTAGCATACGATTGCAATACCCTTGCGATAAAAAAACATGGATGCAAAAATGAAATCTATGACGGTTTTCTGAATTGCAATGAATCTTCAAACCGGGTACCGTATCTGAGATTTTTTAGTAATAATCAAAACTGTTCCAGTAATGCAACTGTATTAAATTCCTGTAATCTTCACGGATTTGGCAATGACCAGTTTTATTACGTAATGAGCAACTTCAAAAGCAGTAAAATTTTTTGTCCTTACTTTATCACTGGTCAATGCTATCGTGGCACTTGCACAGTACTGTTACAGCACTGTTTGCATACTGTTGCTTTATTGAAACAGAACTGATTTTCACTGGCAGACCAATCCGGTTATACTATTTCCAGGTACACTAAAAGTCTACTTACGGAATCTAAGACACAAGGTGTCACAAATATTAACACACATACTTGTACCTCGCAAACACCAGCAGAAAAAAAAACAGGAAACCTGAGCACTAAAAACAGCAAAAAAAGAGTAAGAACAAGAAAGTACAAATAAATGCCTTGGAAAAATCGATTTCAAGATTTTAAAAAATACCTGAGAAAACGGGTTCAAACTCAGACCACCCAAACAGAATTTATTTAATCTAATCAGTTACCAATTTAATCTTAGCTTACTCTACTTAGACGCCTGACAACAGATATGATGTCTATTTAACACATAACTTTTGCACAGAACACTCTGGATTTAAGTGTGCGACTTGCTTACTCGCTTATAAAAAACACGGACTGATCTTACATTGTAAGCTTACTTGAGTAAAAAACATAGATAAAACCACATGCAAAAACTTCCCAAAACCTTTGTTGGCTTTTGTCAGAAATTATATGTTTCGATTTCAGTTTGTTTCATTTAATAAAAAAAATGCACCAAGTTTAATTCACTTACTACTTGCTTGTGCACCTAGTCTGTCTAATATAATATTCACGTGGTGATTGTGATCGGCATCAGGGCTACTGTGCAGACTTTTCAGCAACGTCAAAAGATCCTTGTGGGTTACTCGCTGTTCACGACTGAGTCTGTTCAAATCATCCAACAGTGCTCGGAACGTTCTGGTCCTTTCTTGCCAGTTGTAGGGGTCTTTGTTTCTATTGAACTCAGTATGTTTTTCTTGCAAAGAACTCCGATCACATTCATTCAGATGCTGACCATAACTTTGTCTGAATTTTTCAAACAGGCAGTGACGACTTCTTGTTCTTCGCGCCACAGGGTCAATGTTCACAATTGTAAAGAAGGACCCCCGTTCTTGCATTTACAATTTCACCTGAAAAAAACATAAATGGTCGCGTCATTTGAAGCTGAAAATAAAAAAGAAAACCAAAATATTTAATAAGTAACAAAGAGAATATAGAAGAAAGAGAAGAATTATAATACATTCATCTTCCTAACTAAGAGTAGCTATAAGCTAGCTGACTGCAATTAAGCTGAAAAATTGATATCAGAAAAACAATTTAACCAACTAACTAAAATGTCTTTCGCTACATCAGACCGGATCTAGGAGTTTCTCAAGGGGTGGAGGTATTCAGATTTACGTTTTTTTTTTAAATCTAAGAAGTTGATTTTCTGAGTTTTGCCACAATTGGCTGGTCGCCAGAACTAGATATCGGCCACAAAAATGGATGTAAAATAGTACCATATACAACTTCATGCCCAAAATTGTCTTACAGACGAGGAAAAAATATTTTGAAAGCTATCTTTGTTAATAAAACCAGGGAGCGACTAAACAAATGGGGCGGGTCCCAAAGCATGGTATTGACGGATAATGAAGAAATCTTATGACTTATAATATAATCGTATAAATCGACTATCGTTTAACGTATATTCGTATATTTTGGCTTTCAAATGAAAATCGCATAACCGTATAACTTGAAATCAAAATCCTAACTCAAATACAACAATCGGCTTAAGATTTTTTAAAATCGTTTTTGCTGCTCGATTATTAATTTTTGCCGTAAAATCTCTAATTGCTATAAAAAAAACATTATGTTGAACTTGAGCCGCCCTAATATCAATCAATCTAGCAAAGTTCAATGAAAAAATCTTTCGTATAATCTTACATCGTAAAAATACTTTTTTCGTATGTCGTATAACGTGTAGTAAATTTTAGTCCCAGATGGCTTTTTCTTCACGAAATCAAATTCCCATCTGGCTATAGAAATTAGACTGCCCGTAGTCGCTAAAAATGCTTCCAAACGATAAACAAACTCTATCTAAAACAACGAAAAGGGGTCAATCAACAAACTTGGCTATTTAAACCAACCCAAAAATCCAGAAATGAACCATGTCAGACTGTTTAAATGTTTTGATAACACAACAAAGTTTTGCGAAAAACCCCAGAAAAACTACTCACAATTGAAAAATCAAGGAGCATAAAATATTTTTTATGAGGAGCATCATAATGATAGCAGGTTACAACTTTTCAACGATACAAAAAACTTTGATGAAACTTATTTTCAAGTATCCAAGGGTTAAAACGTTTTGCAAAAAGAAAAGTTTTGGCGTCTAAAATTTAAGGTATAAATGAATAATCTATTTAAATTTGGTCAGCCAGCTAAAGCGGGTCTGATACAAAAATTGACAACACAAAAACTTTTTTTAGTGTGATGCGAAGATTGAATTTTTTAACTTAATTTTCAGTCTTTAAACAAAAATTGTATGCTAATAAACTAATAAAAAACTACACAAAACGGCAGCACTGACACCAATGCGATAAGAAAACTACAAACCTAACTGCTTTGAAACCATTTCCAAAATTATAAAAAAACTAAAACACCCAAATCACAAATACTTCAATTATCTCAAAGCTTCAGTATCTAGCGGCCCACTGTTCAAAAGCTATGCAAAGAAAACGAAAAACTCAAATCGGAAAACAAATAGCAACACTCGTCAATTACAACTCTTTAAAGGCTCGGCAACATCATAGAAATCACAGAAAAAAGACTGGGATACTTAATAAATTTCGTCCACTATTTAAACCGGACAAAAAATCTAACAATTCCAAACTATTAAAAATGAACTCCAACTTATTTTTTGTACGAAAACTTAGAACTTGATGTTAACTACCAATAGTTATATTTAAGCATAGCTAAATGACAGTCGGAAAAGAGTAATGAACGCAAGGAAACTGAAGAAAAACCTGACTTTTTCTATAAAAAAAACCTTCAAGTTTTGCATTTCGCAAAAAAAGATGGCCTCAAAACTCTTTGAATTTCTGGAACATTTTCTGATCGATACTTTTTTGATAATTGTATTGAAACGAATTGAACTGAAATCAAACCATAAGTCAAACCGCGAAAACTCAAAGCGTGAATAATTTTTTTTTCCTGAAAAAAAAACAAAAAAATCACCGAGACCTATATAAGTACTAACTACGTTCATTGTTTTCAAAACAAAACTCTCGCAATTTGAAAATTTAGGGAGTCATAACTTTCCCGTTTTTTCTGCAATCTCCAGCTTGTTCTATGTTAAAAGTCAAGGATATTAAAAGTGTCGGAAGAAACTTATGTTTTAAAAACTGACCATTAGACCGTTTTCATTGGAGAACCTCAAATTCTCCAGAAACATATTGACCTTTAATATTTTGTGTCTTAACTTACAAACCAACAAAGTGGTCTCGTGAGAGGCAGCTATAGCAAAATATTATTAAACTTCACATAAAACAAAACGAAAGTGTCTCAAAAGTTCATATATTAAAAAAAGTTGGCTTTATGAGGCCAAAATGTATATTTTGGGATTTTGGGCTGATTCCGCAACCATAACGCTCTCTTTCTTCTTCTTTTGTTCTTTCGTTTTCTTTGATCGTTCCGCAAAACTTGAAAAAAACTAAAGACTTGTCTCTGGATTACAGAAACCTACACACACCTATTCAGTGCAGTTTGGCCTCGTAAAAACATCTTCGTTACACATCATTTTAAATGAGATTTGTCAAAAGCCCATGCAGAAAATACTAATTTAAAGAAAGCCAAAGAAACTACGAATGCCAAAATTAAATCATAGCGAGATAAAACATTGCTCAAACTTTTTTGATTCACTAAAAATAAAGATTTCAATCAAAAACGAATAAATGTAATGAACACAGTGGGAATTGACAACGAAAATAGAAAAATTGGATTATGAGATAGTACTTTGAAAAAATTACTAACATTCAGAACTCAATTCAATGGGAAATAAATTAGACGCTCGCTTCAGGAACTCAATTTTTCATCTGCCAAAAAATTCTCCTAGCGTCTAACAAGCTGCTATGAAAATACAAGCTATATTTATAGTTGCGGATTTTACTAACAGATTTAACTTAGAGAACGATTTTTTTTCGAAAATCGTTAAAAGCTTTTCATTAAATTTCAAGTACTTGTTAATTTTAATTAGTTTAATTAATATTTTGTTAAATATTTTCTTCCTACTTGCAAACAATATCCAATAAAACCAAAATTGAGAGTGTTAAATTGATTCATCTTGCGCTCACTGATTGTACTAAAATGTTGCTTATTTTTTGCTGATTAACAGTTGGCTTTGAGCCCTATTATGACACTACTTTTTCTACGCTCAAAGATTAAGCAAGGAGCCAGATACTGATTTTAACAGAGTCAAAAGCCTTCTTTCCATTCATGACAAAAAATTAGCAAACATTATGGAACATCTGAAAATCAATGAAATGAAATTTTCTAAAATAACCCGAAAACTCGAATGAAACAATTCGAAGTATTGAAGTTCTACACGATTAAGACCATCAAATCAGCGGCCGTTGCCGAGTAGAAGGGTGCAGCACTCAACAAGATTGTGGTGGGTTTGAGAGGGTACCGAATGTCTTCTACTTCCTCAAAGTGGAAACGGCTACGGCGAAAAAAAACTTCAGCTCCTCCTTCCTCTCCAGAAAATTTTGCTTTTTGGCCAAACTCATAAAAAACTTGTCCAAAAACTGGAAGTGGTGTGAACAGATTTTAAGAATTTCTTTCCTGCGAAAAAAACAGCTATTTTATTAAACAATCCCAACAATCGTTATAACCCAGAACAGAAAAGAAACAATAGAAAAACTTACGATCACAATGCACAGTTTTTATCGGTCCCATAAAAAAAGAAATACTTTTGGCTAATTCTCAAATAAAAAAATTAATAAAATCATTCATTAGTTTTGTTATTATCCCATCAGAAAGCAAAGATGCCTGTCGGAACAATCTGTCAATTCATAATCAAAGAGCCTTGAAACTGAATTCGCTTGTGCTACCAAAAATATAGGACACGAAACCGACAGCTCCTAAGCAGACGCAGGTGTAGTCTATAAAAGTCATCGCCAAATTTAGCTTAGAAAAAATGAAGTGCAATCAAAATCACAGCCTATATAAGACAAATTTCACTGCGTACATTAAGATTTAAAATTTTGTAGGCATTTAAAGAAAGGATAACAATTTTTTAAGTAATTTTGATTTCCTTACTTCCTCCCAATAAACAAATACTCCTTAAAAATCTCAAGAATTCTGAGAAGCTTTTCATTTAAAGTTGTTCGCCAATCTTCAGTTCTCTTAATTCGTCAGAAATGCTGCGCGGCTTTAACAAGAAACTCTCGTGATAATTAACTCTCCCTTTTGCGAGATAAGAGAAAACCTGCAAACTATACTAATGGTCAAAAGCCGGTCAAGCTGAAGGGGTAACCTCTCCTTCAGGAATGTACCCTAGTCATTATTGTTTTTTGACACGCAGTGATGTCCAAAATCGCCATTTGTTTGATTTGTTAAACTGTTTGGTTTGTTAAACATGGTTTGTTAAACTGATTCAACCAATAACCAATTGGTTAAGGCGATTTGGGTAAGAACGGTCCGTATATAACCATCCGGCCTTAATACAAGTAAAATGGTTTAAATAAAGCCCGTTGATTAGATTGGGTCCGTTTTAAACCAAATCGCCTTTAATTGTATTAACAAAAAAGTTCGTTGATTAATTTTATTACAAAGAAGAAAAAATTAACTTGTTAGATTTTGCATAGACTAAAAAACTAATAACCCTGTACAAATACTATAAATTATCCATTTTTATCAGAAATAAAAAGTTAATAGACAAAATGGCGAAGACTAAACTAAAAATTAATTAAACATTTGCGAATTCAAATTTCTAACTAGATTGAAATATAGAATGAAAAAGCACCAGCATTTTTAGACAAGATTCAAAGCAAATTCTGTTACAGTTCTATACTACATATATATATTTCCTGGAAGCTGTGTTTCATGAACTTTTAACTTTTTTAAAAGCCAATTGTCGCTTAACAGAACGCCTGTTATAACACTTTGCTAAACGTAGTAGCGTCTAAGCAATATATACAAAAGTAGCAACACCAAATAAGGCAATGCAGAAGATACAAAGGGTAAGGGGGTGCAAACTTCCCTTCCTTCTGTTATTAAAAAAGTTTGTAATGCCCACAGTCGGTCCTAAAAGAACTGTGTATAATTTCCAAAGCACCATAAAAGCCGATATGACACTGTTTGTGCGCGATTTTCTCCAGAAAAGAGAACTTAGTTTTACATCACAATTTTCTGCGACAATTTCTGCAACACAAAAGTTATTTACACACGAAACGGGTAAACAGGAGACAAAAAACAATAAGCTAATCAAATGGATCTTGTGGTAAAAGACTTATTTTTCTATAGCAGTTGATTGGATGGTGTGAAGGGATAGAAAACTATTGGAATCAATGGAAAGACAAATAGTCATTGGATTGGCTGAAACTATTCAATGGATAGCTTCAAAAGTCAATAACATCATGGTTCATTTAAATCACAATGATTTCATTTCTTCATAGATTTTTCGCTTCATAGAATTTTCACATTTGAATCAGACTGCACTAATTACGATATTTGACGCTAATAGAGTCGATGTAATTAGGTAGTTTCTTCGTCATGATGTCTTGCTCGTCAAAACACTTTTCTTTAATTCTAATTCCAATTTTAACTAACAGGCTTCAGACAGTGCTGATTGCGCTTCTAGGACTCTGAAAAGATCCGCGCAATTAGGCGTCTTCCTCGTCGAGGTAGTCTCCTTCAGGAATATCCTCTTCCTCGTCGTTTTCATTTTCGGGGTTCTCAGAGTTCTCGGAATTGTTGACCTCCATTGACTGCCTTTCCACATGCGGTTGCAGTATGAAGTCAATAAACTCAGGACCTGCTGGACCAGTTAGCAACCCAGTATGACTTTTATCTGATCCGGGATCATCTGGAGGCTCCTCAGGCGATCCATTGATGGAGCGTCTCCCAATTATTTCGATTGTAAATGACGATCCGGGAGTAAATAGAGCCACAAGCCTCGGATCGTTGCTAGAGAACGTCCTATTCTCTGATGAAAGAGCATGTCTTTTGTTGTTTTGAGTTTTAGTTTGTTGACTAGTACCGAAACTCCGATCCCTTTCTGTGTTTGATATGTCTTGGAAGGCAGCAACGCGTGTCTCTAGCCGATTTGGCCCCATTCCATCAGTTACGTTTTCTAAAAACAAAACAAAGATCACGATTTGAAATAGGTATCACTTTCAACCAGGTAACTTCAACTTGTGGATGGGGCTAAATACCCAATTACTGAAATTACAATAGGATTAAATTCCCAAGGGTAAAAAAATTTTTTTGAAGACAATGAAAGAGAGAGACCGTGACAGTTAAAACTTCTTCCAATTACAGAGTTTGAAAAAATAAATAAAATAATTATTCAAGAATTACATTTCAAGCGCCTGATATCAACATAAATCTCAACATGTGGGCACTAATGGCTCTATTTGCTCAAGCCACACTACAGAATGTAAATTAAAATACCAACAAGACTGCTCGTATCAGGGCGAAGCCTGAATGTTCCGACTGTCGTTTAAGGTTTATGGAGCAGTAATAACATTTAAAAAAATAAATGAAAAAACAAAATGAATTTTTTTTTAATTTGAAATTTTTTATGAAAATCATCCCCCCACACGCCATATAAAGAACAAAGGGTTAGACTTCGCTCCTTGTAACAAATCAATTATGGCAAAAAGTTACTTTCAACAAATTTGGAACGATTTCTAAGACGGATTAACTCTTCGCTTACGCGTTAATAGCGCGAAATATATCGCGCGTTAATTGTCCCAAATTGGCCAAAATGGCTATCTTAAAACCCTCGAAATCTGAAGAAAAAAACCCACCCCGAGCATAAAAATTCCGTTACTTTCGTATCGAAAGTCCGAACAATAAGCAGCAATTAATGATTGTTAATGAATGCGCCGAATATTCCAATTACGCTTATTTCTCTAATGAGAGGTGAAAAATCTTCGAATTCTTGCTGATTTTTAGAAACGAAATTGGACTGAATTGGATATTTAGCCGTAAAAACAAACATTGAGGCTAATATTTTGTAAAAATATCACAAAAAAAGATTGGAAGATAAACTTGAAATATCTAATCAGAAAAACTAGTTTGAAAAATGAAAAACCTCAGACCAATTTTTCGTGACTGAGACAAACTTTTCAGCAATAATAAGTTTGTATACGAAACCACGTCCAATTGCGCTTCATTATACAAGCAAAAAAAAAACGATTAAAAAGTGGAATAATGTTAGAAAAAGTAACAAAAGAAAAATAAAACTTTTGACAGATGCGGAAATCATAACCCCGACCTGGATACTAAGCCTCGCTTCTTCGCATCTGCGCCATAATCGCTGATCAATTTCAACTACTAGCTACCCAAAAACCAGATATCACAGAAGCTATTTAAATGCCATCGCATTAATTGAAATATTGCGCTGTACCGGAGTCAATTCGCCGCCCTGGAGATTAAGGGACTTTCGTCCTCGCATTTGCGCTATGATTGCTTGAATAGCAGATAAAGCGGATGGTAATGAATTGTCAATGTTATGCCAACAAAACTACCACCAAATGATTTCTTTCATTTGCGAATGAGGTGGGAAACTACGGACTTCGTAATATGACACTACGCTCGCTAGCTTGCATGTGTAATGAAACGTCCCTATACACTCTACGAGCTTTCCTTGAGATATTGAAAATCGGGAAGAAAAAACACACCCTGAGCCTTTATTCCTTTTCTTCACTTTTTGAAGAGGTCGGAACAATAAAGGCGCCAAAATACAAAAAAAACTTATTTTAAAAAGGCAAAACTAAATTATTACCGCCTAAATTAAACAATTGTAAGCTTTAAAATTATTTAAAAAACTATTGAAGCGTGCTGATTTTGAGTGGAAAACAAAAAAAAAGAAAAAACTAAAACACACCTCAAGAAAATAAAACACTAAGTTCCTCCCCTTTTTTCAAATGGTCGGAACAAATAAAAACGTGACTTAAAAATGTGACTTTATTTACTGTTTCGTAAAATGACATTGCTCATCAAAAAAATTAGTTAACAGCATTTTCAAATCTGAGTTTTCTGTGTTTTGCAATGATTTCAGAGACAATATTTTTGCTTTGAAGGCTTAAATACAGCACGATGTTATTAAAATTTCGACAACCTAGAACCACACTGGCAATTTTTTGCATTTTTTATAAACCACATTTAAAAACTCTTGATTATTACCGAGAGCCAGATCTGCATTTAGTTAAATATGAAAGGCTCTCTAACTAACCTCGAGGAAAGCGTGTAAGGATCCGCACTGGGACAATGTCTGCGTCGAACTCCGTTAGAAATAAATTCAGATAACGGAGGTCCCCACAAGCAGATATAAAGTGCAACAAGGTGTCAAAATGACGTGACAATGGGATTCCCAACCTATCTCGAAAGTAGGTATTCAGCCCAATAGCGGGCAAGTCCCTGGCATCGACGTTACGAAATGATCCACTAGATGCGGCGATTGCAAAAAAATAGACAAACTCCTCTGGTCTCTGAACTGACTGCGCAATTTGGTCCAGTACTACATCTGCAAGTCCCTCAAAACTTGACCCTAAATCAAAGCGCACTTTAAAAAAATTTTTTTGAAGCTACAATACCTCAAAGCAAAATTAAGATCACTATCTCCCTAGAGAATTTCTTTACTAATTTCAAAAGAGGCAAATGCTTAGTTAGATCAGAAAATTTACCTGGTAAATTCAAGGATCAAAACATATGTCAATTTTATATATAGGCCAAACTTAGAATAAACTTTGGCCAACATGAACTCCTTCCCTTTTTAAAACTTAAAATACGCAGAACCGGTAGGGTAATATACTCACCACTGCAAGACAATATTTTCCATGTAGTGGGAGCCACACATTTGCACACTTCCAGAAACACCTCACAGAGAGATGGCATGCCGCAATGCTTCAAAAACAACAATAAAGTCAATAGATAATGGTAGGGGTTCGAATCGCCACTCCGTTCTCTGTAGAACAGATTTGTGGCAATCTGCAAAACTCCACCGACGTCATTATCGGGCTCATGGACCGAAGTTAGCGCCCTTAAAATGAAGAACAGGATTAGTTCGGCCTGTCGAGGTGTCAACTTCACAATCTCATCGATGTTGCCGATCACCATGATTCCCAAACGACATCTGAAAAACATGAACACCATCATATGCCTTATTCACTGCTCGTAACAAAACGGTGAAATTTCAACTACACTGCATGTATTAGAGCTGCATAAAGTCCACTGTTAGATTTCATTACACAAATTATCAAATATAATGCTTAAAGAATGTATGAAAATTTTTCAAGCTGTAAAAATATTTACCGAGTGAGACTAAACATGTCAACATATCAGCCAGCTGAAAATGCGACAAGACTGCTCGTATCTGGGCGAAGCCCTGAATGTTCAGACTGCCTTTTGAGGTCTATGGAGCAGTAAAAACCTTAAAATTAATTGTAATAAAATAAAATGAAAATTTTAAAACTTTAGATTTTTTGTGAAAATCATCCCCCACACGCCATATAAACTACAAAAGGATAGATTTTGCTACTTTTAACAAATCAAATACGACAAATAAGCTTCTTTCAACCAATTTGGAACGATTTCTAAGACGGATAAAATCTCCGCTTACACGTTAATAGCGCGAAATATATCGCGCGATAATTGCCCAAATTGGCCAAAGTGGCAATCTTTAAACCCCCATAACTTTACAAAAAAGACTACAGGTGAAATTTCTTTTCAAGTTTAAGCTCAGAACAACAATACCTTCCGAATGATAAAAAAAATTCCGTCAAAAATGGCTAGTTAAAAAGTCGAAATTTGTCTGAAGAAAAAACCCTCCCCGAGCACAAATATTCCGCTTCTTTCAGGGTTGGCAAAATGTAAGTTAAAAACAAAAATAACAAACTAACTGTTATTTGTCGAAAAAAAACATGTTATTTTTGTTAAATTGTTAATTAAATTAACATATCAACAAGAGCTGAGTTTCTTGAACAGAAAATACGCTCGCCTGACTTGACACGTGGATGCCTACAGAAAACTTCAGCTTCAACTTCATAGCTGTAACTCTAATGAAAAGAATCCTACAATTTAAATGAGTGTCATGTTTACCTGATTGTCTGAATTTTCAGTTTGAGGATTTAAAAAAAGCAAGTTTCCAAATAACTGAAGATATAAAATGTTTGATTACGGGCAAAATTCGGAATCTGGGTTAATAAAAGTGGGAGAAATTTTCGAGGTAAATATTTAACAGAACAATTGATGGAATGCATTTTATCAATTGAGCAAAAACATCGATCAATGCTTAAATTTTATACGTAGTCTTTCTTTTTGTTAAAAAAGAATTCAAACCAACAACTGTAAAATATATGAGGCTAAAAAATACGTTGAATTCCCATAGGTTCCAACATTCAAAGGTTCCAAAATAAAAAATCAGTCGCATAAGTTCCAAAATTTATCTTCTTGAATTCTGATTGGTTGAAATATGAGCCAACGAAATTATGGATTGATTGTTTACTGTTCAACCAGCATAAACTCAAGCTGCAGAATAGTGACCGCCGCAGCCGCGCCAACGCGTTGCGAGCTTGCCACCAAAGGGTAGGACTCTATGCGAAATTTAGAGCCGGTTATCGCCGCGAAGCGGCGACGCACGCGTAGCGCGCCCACCGGCGGCCTTAAACCGAGACTCGGCTAATTTAGTGCTTTGACCAATTGAAAAGATTTGGAACTTATGCGACTGCTTTTCAATTTTGGAACCTATGGGACTGATTTTTTTTGGAACCCATGAATACGCACCAAAAATACGTGCATACACGCAAGTAAAAAACCAAATGCTGACGGTTTTAAAAAAAATGAAAACGTGAAGCGAAAGTCTACTGCAATTTGAGCAAAAACGCGCGTTCAGTCTCTACATGAATTAAGTTATTTTGTGCGTTGAACAAATCTACGTGTAAAAAAATTGCTTCACTCCGCGTGGGTGCCGGACATCAAGCCGACGGACTTCAAGCCGAATTGTAAAATTAGGGACTTCAAGCCGAATAGTTCCTTATAAAGTCGTAAAATATGAATAATTTGAAAACTTTTTTGAAGAATTTCTGAATTTCATGATCATTCTTCACTAGTTTTTGGCGTTTGTATATAATTTAAGCCTCCAAATGATGTTTAGGAAAGTTGAAAATTAAAACACGGTTGAAAGCGGTTTTCTTGTTTATAATTTATGCATTTCAAAAACCGGTTGATATTATTAACTGATGCCAATCCCAAGTGGTGCATTGTCATGAATAACGCATTTGATGGACTATACTTGCCTAAACTTTGAAAAACAACGTTTTACAGATTAAAAAATAGTGTTTTGAGCTGCTTGTTAAGTTTTAATTTCGGCTTGAAGTCCCGTCGGCTTGTTGTCCTAGACCCACTCCGCGTACCGAACAGCAAGCAGACAGGACTTCAAGCAGCCGAATTGAAAAATGTGGGGCTTCAAGTCGAATGTTTTGTCAAAAAGTCATGAATGTTGGCTAATTTGAAATTTCTCAATTTCATGAGCTTTTTAACAATTTGTTGGCTTTTTCAAATCTTCTGAGCCTCTAATTGATGTTTAGGAATATAAAACGCTAAAACATTGCCGAAGTTGTTTTACAGAAGCAATATTTGTGTAACATATGTGTAATCCGGTTGATCTAACTATCTGATACCATTCTTTAAGGGTGCATTATTATGAAGAATGCTTCTTATGATCTAAACTTGCCTTGCCTTAAGTTTTTGAGAACAAACATTTTACTACTGAGAATTTAACGTTCTGAGGTATGCTTGTAGTCTTAATTTCGGCTTGAAGTCCGATCGGCCTGTTGTCCATTTTACTTAAATTGTATGAACAAATTCGACAACTGGCACCGATAAGCAGAAGACAAAACAGGCAGACACTATTGAACCAAATCACAATATCCTGTAAACTAAAGTGGTTTCAATTGTGCAATCAGTTCAGTGAGTTCTATTTACTGATAGTAATGAAAAAATAGTTATCAGTAAACAACAATTAAATTCAGTGTCGGCTTCATTCACTGTCTGTCAAAAAGACTTAAAACGCATGTGCTGCTCGTTATATCATGTATTGAATAAAAATTCATGAAGTGCAGCCTGTATTTTGACAACCGCGTATTCATAATCATCAGAAAGCAGACAAATTCTTACAAATGCACGTCTGGATATCCCGAACGGTAACTCAAGCTAGAAAACGAAAAAAGAGCAAATTAAACAACAGTTTTCGGTTATAACCCTGAAAGATGAAAAATGGCAAGATAAATTTATCACAAATTGTTGCACAGTTACTAAAAAATGCAATATATATTTATGGGACTGGTAAAAACGAAGCATTTTAACTTAGTTTAGCCTCAAACTGATATTTTTCTCATTTTTTCCTTTTTCCCCGTTTTCTGCACATAAACACATAAATAGTCTCCTTTTTCTAATACCCCCCCCCCTCTAAATCAGGGTTTGCAAAATGTAAGTTAAAAACAAAAATAACAAACTAACTGTTATTTATCGAAAAAAAGACATGTTATTTTTGTTAAATTGTTAATTAAATTAACATATCAACAAGAGTTGAGTTTCTTGAACAGAAACGCCAACTTTCCGGCTTTCTCAACGCCGAGTTGAGCACGAAGCTTCCCATACATCAGTCCCAGGGTGGAAAAGCACCTCTCAAGCCTTGGAAGTTTTCGTCAAACAGATGGGCTGAATAAGGGAAGAATTTTGCCAGGTACTTAGAAACTTCTGGTGCAACATCACTGTTAGAAATTATAAATAACACTAAGTTAAATTCAATGTTAAATAACCCGTTACGAAAGTCGGAACAATCAGTATAACAACTGCGTAAAAGCTGCGTATGTAAAGCGGTGTATTTTTGGCTCGTTTATATGGTAGCTGCTTAAAAGCACCAGCTGGTTATTATACCACCTATTAAAAACTAGGTCTGGAACAATTTCTTCCGTTTTGTTGCCAGAGACACCAAAACGAAACGTAATTTGTAAACACACATGAAACTAGCTTCAAATTTTTCATGCAACAAGCTTCAAAATTAGGGTCCAAAAATGTTAAAATTTTCACACAAAAGAGTGAAAAAAGTGTTTTGCAATCAGTTATGAACAAAACGTGACCGGCAGCTGAATTCTCTGCTGTAAAAGTCTTCTGCTGAAGATTCGGGTAAAATACATATGTACAGTGGCCGCTTTAGGCTTTGCAGAACAGAACAGATTCGTACAAACCTATCACTTTCGAGAATATGGCCGCTTTCAGCTTTTATCACTACACCTTCGAATCCAAGACGAAAGAAAACTAACGATGACGATGATCATGATGATAATGATTAATACAGAGAGACGGAGCAAAGCTTCGCACCATTTGCGAGACAAAACTGAACGCCAAAATTCAAAAGATAAACTAACTAATTTAAAAATAACAAATCAAAGCCAATATCAAAAAAATCAACCCACTAAAAACATTTGAAGTTATGGAATTGTTTGGAAGTTTATAATCGAAGTGTTGGTCCAATTATAACAGAAGTCTACAATAATCTCTTTCTTAAACAAGGAAAAAGAAAAACAACGAATTCAGTTATAATAAAGCTATTATTGGAGTTTTAGTTATGCCCAAGTCATTAGTATGGCTTAGGCTAAATATTTTTTATATTAATTGCAAAAAGATTTTCTTTAAAAGTTAGCTTTTTTTAGCCGATGAAATTTTCCACAAACTTTTCAAGAAAATCTTTTTGCAATTATTACAACAAAAATATTTCGCCTGAGCCATACTAATGACTCGGGCATAACTAAAACTCCATGAATAGCTTTATTATAACTAAAAAAAAACTTAGACAAAAAGCAAAATTTCGTTCATAAAACTGTTGTCGAGGAAAATTTGCGAACTTTATTGGAATCGAACAACTGAAACTCCATCAGGGGCATTTTGGAGTATTATAAAACTCTTATCATCAATTATTATTTTATAAGTTTACTATGAAAAAAAAAACTCGCAGCAAAAAATAACGATTTGAAGATGTTAAAACTCAGCCGACAACTGATAAGCAGACAAATAATTGGCCAACATTTTTATTTGAAACAGAATGTTTCCCTTTTAAAAAAAACGGCCCC